TAAGTAGGTTTATTGATAAGTTATGGTGTGAAAAAGAAGAGCTCCCCTTTAAAGTTTGCTAACATTGTGAACACAAAAAGCACTGATGTGTTTGCAACTGGTCTCTTTCAGGTTCATTTCAAAAGAACTGTGCAAAAACACACTTAATGACACTTTTGTTTTAACAATTTTTGTTAAACCACTTAGACATTTTGGATGAAATGGCTCAGTGGGTTAGGGTTTCACACCGAGTTTGAGCCGAGGGTTCCTGGCTTGACCACATGCTTGGCACCACAGACCATAGGTTCATGTGTCCTTCATCTGACCTTTGGTGCTGTGATCTTGTCCAAGCGTAAGTCACTCATCCACAAGCTACTGAAGGAGTGCTGAAACATGACGTCCCTCCCACCCTCCTCAACATGCGTGGAAGGGCTCAGTGGATTTTATGATGAAAAGTTTAATGTATATAGCACCTTTCTCAAATCCAAGGACATGTCACAAAAAATTAAGTCCTCCTGGTAGCAGAAGCTTCTACAGACACACATTTCATTTGGCAAATTAATGTGAGGGGGCACACATGGAGAAAATGCAGTTGAACTTTGTTCGACACACCTTACCTTATCTCATCATTGTTCACTTGCATTCAAAAGCCTCATCACAAGATCACCTCAGCTTATTTGCTTAAATACTGTGATCTCTAACAAATTTGGCATGTCTGCTAGATCCACAAAATTCTTGCCAGCCTTGCTATGATTCATCTGTAGTAATCTCTATGTAAACCACAGTTGGAGTGATTCACACTAAAAAGAGCAAGTGACACATCTCAGAAATGATTTTTGTCTCCTACCTTACACATATCACAGTGTGTTCCTCAAGACATAGTGGCAGTTAGGCACTCAATTTTCCCATGAACACTGAAGAGATTCGAGCATAGTTTCTTAAAAGAAACTTTCAGGAAAGCCAATTCTTCATTCGGAGGCAAAATTAAAAAAACTTGTTTCATAACTGAGATGCTAAAGTGCCACGGTCCACTGTACATAAAGCATTTTGGTAAGTTTCCAGTGTTTTCACAGGACTTAACCACACCCAGTAAACCTCTTGAAACATTCACAACTGGTTTGGTTCCTGCCCTGTTGACGCAATCAGCCTCTTCCCAAGTGCAGTTCTTAGAAAGACAAAAGCAAAGCAAATTAAGAAACCATGATGAAGGTCTGGGGCTCATTCTGTGTTAAGTACTGTACTGCAAAATGTGTCAGCATGCTGAGCAAAAGGAAGATGCTTCTGGGAACACTTGGAACTGAGGATGAAGCAAATTCTTTCACAAAAAAACCCAGAAAGAATATTGTACAATGGTAATAAATTAATTAGATTGTGAGTAATAATATAGTATTCCTTAACTTTCACTGTGTTACTGTTATCAATCTGTACTGTACTAGTTAATATATATTTCTGAGAGCTTTTCAAATACTCATTTAATACTTTGACATACATGCATTTGCATGCATCCACAACCCTGGCTTCAAATTGTTGAATTATCATTCTTGGGTATGATTTTAACAGAATAATGCAGCATAAAATATTGTGAAAAAGTAAGCATTTGAGTTGTATTAAAATGCCATATTAAAATATACATCTTATTAAGTGGAAGTTAAGCTTTCAGTTCAATAATAATACACTATATACAATATATACACTTGGCAGAGTCTTTATGTTTACATTCTGGCTCATAGATTCTCAACTCATCACAGGCTGGCTTGCTAGCACACACACATACATAGCAACAACAATAATAATAATAATAATAATTACTAAGTAAATACTCTTACATTAAACAATGTCCAGCAACTGAATTCAGTATGATAAGGAAAAATGCCTGGTTGTTCTGATTGGTCTAGTGATGAAATTTTACATTTCAGATAACAGATTTTATTTTGATTTTTATCCAGATATCTCCCCAATTTTGCCCTTACTAATTCCACCCGCTAACTAGGTCTTCCTCGGTCACATAATGCTACCAAGCTGGTAGGTTGAGGGCTAGCACACTCCAAGATGTGAAGTGCCACTGCATCTTTTCAAACTGCCGCTAACGCAGTGACATTAGACAGCTCAACATGCTTTAGAACGCTAACTGCCAATTCTGTTAGCAAGCTAACAGACACTGCATCATGCTGAGTGATGGAGGGAGATGGAGGACCATCCTACCCTGGCAAAGAGAATGCGGCCAATTATACTGTCTTGCAGTCCTGGCCACAGATGTCTGTTGCATCGCCGGATATCATATTTGTGATCTCCCAGTGCTTAGACAGTTGCACCACTCGGGAGCCCAACAGTGCCAAGTTGCTTACTTGTAATTTTCATTCTTTTATTAATAATCATATTTGGATTTTCCATTCCTTTGTTAAACATCAGTAATCCCATGTGACCAAAATAATTTAATATGATAAACTAATTGATAAAACGCCATATTTTTAATCACGCATGTTCTGAAAATGTCTTCTGATTTTAGTTCATAGAGCATATGGACCACAGGAAATTTATAATATGGGCATTCATGGGTTAATCAAAAATTAAATTTTTTACTGCTTGGAATACATTTTAGAGTGGATTAAGGTGGTGCAAAATTCCATGTGATACAGGCTGCTCCCCTAGAGGCAGAGCCCTCCCATGCCTGCAGGCACGAACTAGCCTGACTCAGGTGCATCTGATCTATCACCTAGATCCACACCTTGTTTTTTGCTGCTGAATCCCAAAAATGACATTCTTCACCTGATTCACCCAAACTAATGAAAAGAAACAGTTTAACAGGCACAAGAAAACATCTCGCTGTATGTTCACTCTCAAGCATCGTTCAGCTGGCTCCTGTGCACAGGATGGCCACTCACTGCTTTAACACCTGTTTGATTTGATGCTGTGGGCAAAGAGAGGCTAAGATGAACAGGTGGAACTCCTCCGCCACTCCTAAAAACTTATGCTCCCTCACGCCTCTTTGACTCATCTCTCTCTGTCTTTCTCTGTCTCTCTCTTTCTCTAAGTCATAATTAAAGTGAATACATTTGGGCTTTCATCAGGGCGTTGCCAGGGCTGGATGTAGCCTATAACTTGGTCACTCCTAGAATCTCTGTCAGATCAACTAACAGCTTTCTGAAGAGGATTTTTGTCTCAGCACAGACACTCTGAGAGCCACTTTCTCTAATTGGACCTTATTTTTTGACAGACAATACCGTGTCTTCATGGTAAGTACACATTTTCTATTTTCAGTTTGTTGATTTATCAACATCTTTATTTGCATGAATGCAAATGAGAGCAAAATAAAACAGAATAAAAAATATTGTACTTAGGAATCAGTAATTTCAAATTGTCACTGAAATAGTGCATGATGTGCATAAGAGATTTGAGGTCATGGAACCAGTATTTTTATATTTCAGACCATGTAACACATGCATAACCTATAAAACCTATTTATTATTATTATTATTATTATTATTACAATAGGGAGTAAAAAATAAAATACACAGACCAAATACACAGACCATTTCCAGAAATCTGCAAAACCGCAAAGTCACAACCGCACAGTATCAATAAATGTTATGGTTAAGTAGCTGTCATTTAGTTACCATGGCAGCAGAACTGGATTAGGAAACAGGCTTGATGCCGACACAAACGCTTCACTTACTTCGCTTACTGTTACTTCCGTTACCAGGCGCAGGAGCTAAAACAACCTCTGTAAACGAAAACAGCAAAAGCATTACAGCCACGCCCTTCATGACTAAAGAATGAGGCAGCTCTCTCTCTCTTTCTCTTTCTGTCTCTGTCTGCCTCTTTAACTTTCACGATAGATGGCAAGATTTAGAGCGATCATGGTTTAGATATGAGTGTGCTTACATTTCCTGCTTTTCACATGCAATCTAGGCTACATGATAAAATAGCAATTACACAGCCCAGACAAATGGAATGTCAGTTATGATTTCAATTGAAATAGGTCATTTTCCAAAAACCAGACCATATCATGATAATTTTTACAGTAAAATATGTAGGTAAACTCACATTTTTCACAGAGAAACTAGACAGGTGTCTTGACTAAACCTGTTCAGTGGGGGATGTGGACTCGCAGATAGATTAACACGGATAGATTCAGTGTGGATATACACGGAACGAAACATCACATGGAGATAGACGGCAAAGTTAGGAAATAAATACATTCAGCACACCCACCCATACAAACACACAAAGCCTGCCAAGATAAACCCAGACTACTGTTACTGAATATACATCAGCTACAATCAGAGGACAGACAGATGCATGTTTTTAAAAGTGTTTTCAAATTAAAATACTTTCCCATATACTCAGGTATATTTGCTGGTTCTGCTGTTCCCAATTACTCTGATTCCTAGAGGAGTACATTACATTTTAACTAAAGTCACCAAAAAGCGTTTTTCTCTTCTTCTTGAGTTGTGATTTTATATAGGTAAAAGCCATTTCAGCTGAGAGTTTTATGTTACTTTGCCCACTGACCACAATGCATAAGAAGCTATAAAGAAGTTATTCGCATGCTATTGTGTTTGTTACAAAGCTGTTGTAAGAGAAGGAAAGTGCAGGAAGTTTGAATATAAGTGAAGTTTTTAAATCCGGTGCATTTTTGTTCACATTTTAACTAATCACTAAAATGGGCCTTTTACTTCTTCTTGAGTTCTTATCTTATTAAAGTAAAAGCACTTTTTAATGAGGATGGTTTTTGGTTACTCAGCCTACTGACTATAATGCATTAGACACAATAAAGCAGTTATTCACACGCTATTGTGTTTATTACAAAGCCACTATAAAGCAGTCCAGACTATGAGGTCGTGCTATCATTCTTTATCTACGTCAAGTCACAGGCAGAAATCCGCCTGGTTCCCTTTAATGAGCTCACCTGGCTCAGGTAACCAGTGTTGACTCATCCAGGCTCCACCCATTTCCCCCGATTCTACCTGAGGAACGCGCTGCCGAACTCCTGCTAACTTACAGGAGAAACTTTCCTCCGATCGCTCCCGTCGCCATTAGCTGCGCTCTCCTAACTCGAGTGAGCCCGGCAGGAAAGAGCGCGTCCAGTTTCGCTGCGTTTGGTGCTGACCGTAGCTGTGGTCATGAGCTCGGCTTCTGAGGGCCTCTTCTTCTCGACTCTTCAGCCCAACTCCTCCGTGAGCACTTACGCCGTGCCGCACGAGAGCCAGCTGGGATACAGCGGCGTTTCGTCTGATGGAGCGGCTAGAGCCAAGCGCGTGCGGGCGCAGGTGGCGATGAGGCTCGCGGAGAAAACCAGCACGCTCTCGCGACAGAACGGCGCTGGACAGCACTATGCGGCTTCAGGTGTGTGTTTCTGTGTGTGTGTGAGTGTGTACGTGGTAAAACGGGTTACTGTTCAAGTTTTGACTTCATGGAGCCTCTGAAAGTAAGTTAGTTATATGTGTCGTAAGGTTTGGTAACGTACTATTTGACGTAAAAGCATCGTTTTAAGGCATCCTGGTTGCTTACTTTAAACTCTGAGTCTGCCTGTGGGATTGTGTCTACGAGTTGTTTCTTACCCGCCTCAGTGCTGTCAGCTTCTCTGCGGTCTCCGCTAAGCTAATGCTAGGACTTCTGTTAAGAGCCCCATCGGACGTTTACAAGGCGAGTTTGGTCGTTTTCGCTTGTTAACAGCTAGTGGGCTCCTCAGATTTCTCTTCGTGTGACACTGGGAACCAGACCGTGTACTTGTTGTATGTTTTTTTATGTTTCGGACAGTAAACAGTCTGCATTTTTTGATAGTACAGTATATAGTATATATATTATACTAAACGTATTGCTATTTTGTAATATATAATCTATACTGAACTAAAAATATAAATGAAACTTATTTGGTTTTGATCCCATTTTGCAGCAGTTTGATAAAAAAAAAATAGTTTCTTTTTCTTGGAAATGTGTTCCACTGCTAGAGGAAAATGACTGTCGCACCAGATACTAATGTGGGAACTGTTTCATGCCTCAGCCTGATTTTGTGAGGTTTCAGTAAAAGTGTTTTGTTTTTGTTCAGTGTAGTTCATGAAGTAAATGTAGTGTAACGTATGTCCTGACTGTGCGTGGTAAGTATGAACAGTAGGTGCTATTTAGACTGATTGGCATGCAGTGATATTAGCTATGAAAGTGATCTTTCTCGCTAATTTTTCATTTGACTGTGGGATATGCTTTGGGAGAGGGTGTCACTTTGGGTTTTAAACTCTAGCCTATCAACGGGACTCCTCCATGTAAACTCTTTTAAGTCTAGAACCAGATGTCTTATTTGTGAAACAGTGGAAAAGTTGTTGTTGTACCATGAAACTTTGCATTTGTTTGAAACATGTACATGTTCCACCCACATCAAGCTACAAGCCGGACAGAAAACATCAGTCCCTCCCTTTAATTAGAGAGAACACCCTTCTGTCTGCAGTGTTGGCCTCATTTGCATATACACGCACACAACACGCATACTGCATTAACGTTTAACAGGCTGCAACAGGCAGAGTTCTTCTGTACCCTTAGGTGCTTTCAGACTGGTGAGTGAGATAGACAAAGAGCATAGAAGTGAGTGAAGGCTCTCTGACTGTGTGTGATTGGGTTACTGCTCTTTGTCAACTCTCAAAGGACCCGACCCACACAAAACTACCGTGTGAGAGAGCCGGACAAAGCGCTTAGCAAAGCACAATAGGCAACTCTGTGAATTACAATTGTTTAGGCAGATCAAATGCAAAGTAGGGCTTTCTTTTTAATGACTTTTTAATATAATTCAGTGGTACAATAAGACAAACAAATATCACTGTTGGAACAGAACCATATTGCTTTTTAGGAGGAAGAAAATGTTCTTCTAATGTACTTCTAATGTAATATAAGTTAATGTAGCAAAGTTTTTTCCAAGTTTGGACCATTTTTATTGGCCCATTCTTCAGGAATTTTTCACACAATGTAAAGAGCAGCTCATGTTTCACATTTATACATGATATGAAAGCACATTATATTAACATAAGCATAGGCAAAAGTTTAGCAATGCAGTAACAAAAACAGTACATAACATATTGGAGGGTGAAATATCAGTTACACAATTACAGTATACAATTTGTATGTGTCTGTGCAACAGCCTTCTCAACACTATTACAATGAGACCGCACCCAGGTAACCTTACAACCTTATGATATGATGTTTGCCATACTCTCTGTTACTAAGCTATGCACAGTTCCCTTCAGCGTCTACATAGTTAGCGTTGTGTGAATAGCAGAGATGGTTCGCTGTGGAATTCCTGCCTTTATGAAAGGCTTCTGCAAGTATTCTGGGGTTAAACCTCTAGTCCTAGCAGCTGCAGAAGGTGAGTGCCTGTGACCTGCAAGCTTCCCAAGCTCAGCTTGACAAGTCAGAACAGCCCCACATTTCTTGGCCCATAGCCAGCGTCAGAAAGACAGAAAGACAAGCTCATTTTGAAGCTATCATTGTAGTCTTAAAAGCTAGACCAGTCTCACATGGGTGAAATACCAAACGTGTTTCAAATGAGAAAGAGAACTGTTTGTTCGTAAAGTCATTTAGTGAGGTTGTGCAGGTCAAAGTAAAAAAGGTAAATAACTAAATATAATGTGCAAATAACTAAATAAATAATAAGAAAGTACTACCACAGTAGCATTTTAAAAAGAGCAAGCTGCTTTTGAATTTACAACAGTTTGTGTTCTCAAATAATGGACATGGAAAAAGTAGGGTGCGGCAAGGGGCGGAACTTTTGCTTTGGGTGTATTTGTTTCTACGTGTTTTGGGCAGGGATAGAAGGAGTGGCTCATAGCAATCAGACCGGTTTTCTACCCCTCTCCCCTTGGCTGCTGTCTGTCACTGTGTTTTAACAACCCAGCCTGTGCCTCGCCCTGCTGAAAACACATACATACACATAGAGCGACTGATGAAACAGTTTGAGAGCAGACATTTTCTTTAAGTTTGTTTGTTTCAAACTTACGCAGGACTTAACCCTAACTGATTAGCATGCAGTGACATGCAGGGCAGTTGTTGCTGGAAGAAGATATCCTTCTCTCTAAACTTGCTGTGATTAAAAAAAGACAATAAGACTAAGTATGTAATTGTAAGATGTTTAAGAACGGTAAAGCCCTAGTAAGTGGTCACTGCAACTGCAAATCTGTTTTTGGTACTTTTGAACAACACATTTAGTTTACTCAGAGCTGGTCCTGGGGTGGTCCTGGCAGTCTTTTAGCTGTTTCTGTGAGTTAGCTTATTATAGTACATGTGCACAAGATAATTGTTATTTTATCCTGAGTATATAAAATATTAATTTTATTTTTGGTTATCCTTCTCAATCTTAATCTTTTCTTGACTCTACACAGTAATCTCTCATGCTCTGCAGCAGGTACATGTTTCATGGGAGCCAAACAAACCACCTAATGCTTTCCTGAGATTCTAGACATAGCACTTGCATGTGAAAACCTGCAGCAGCTTCTGTGGGAATGCTTGAACAGGACTGGTTTAGCGGGGAGATCAGCTAAACAGCAGCATATGATTAAACTCATCAAAGTGATAAACTCTGCTGATGTCAGTATGAGTGCATGGGCCACTTTCACATCAAACGCTTGTTTGTTTGCCCAGTGGAAAACTACAGGCATGAATGTACAGCATCAGACAAGATTGCATGACAGGGTGATTCCATATGACTTTTTATTATGTGCTAATAATTCATCTACAGTCAGCCATTTGGTAAAGACAGTGGTCATGTCCAGCAAAGTAGAGAAAGTGAATTATTACTTCTAAACTGCGCTATATATTATAGCACTTATTTCATTACTTTTACATATTTAGTAACACTTTTATCTTATATTTCTTCCTCTCGCAGAGTACGGAGGTTCTTCAACAATGACAAAGTACCAGACCTACAATCCCAGCTTCAGCTCAAAGTCCTATATCTACTCCTCCAGCAGACCAATGATGGTGAGAATTACATCTTCTTTATGTAATAACTTTGATCATATTATTCTTTATTTGCCCCATTTTAGTGTTAAAATGTTGATTTTATTAGAAATATTCATAAATCTGTACTGATACAAGTACTGGTACTGACTCTTCTTAGACAAAGAAAATGTCTACAGAGAAAAAGACAGAGAGAGTGTAGATCTCTTAAGAACTGGACAGGTTGGCAGTGGGAGAGGAGTGATAGTGTGTTGTTCAAGTGTGATATTTCGCAAGTCCTCCACAGTTCTAAGTAGACTGACACAGCAGCACACCACTGAGCACGTCATTCAATAATTATGTGTTTATTGAATGCCACATCTGTATTTGTAACATTACTCATGTTGAATTTCATTAACCCATTAAACCTCAGGCATATTACACAGGTATTAATCATAAGACTTATTATTCATAAGTATGTTACTTCCTAAGAGGCTTTTGTGAAAACTAGGGGTTTATCAGTGCCCAAAACAATCTGATATTTTACATGCTAAAAATATACATATTCTATGCATGCATCCCGTTGTAAATGGCTGGAATTTTTTCTGAAGCTTCTTCTAAAGGTAGGCATTGAAAACAATATGTTAGAACTTGAATAATTCAAGCTTTGTTGAATCAAGACATTTTAACCATATAAAATACAGAAAGTTTAATGATGAATCAAAAATTGAACCTGAAATTGTGTTTGGGACACCCCTATTATTTGTAACTATTATACAAAGTAATATGAAAGGTATGAAGTTATTAGAGTGAAGAATGGGAGCCTGAGTTTAACAGGTTAAAGGGGAATTCCACCAGTTTTTCAGAATGTCTGCGTAATTCAATGGTTGAGATGTAAACAAAGTCATGCAGAGAGGTTTGGTGTGAAATGATTCATTGTAGGAAAACTAACATCAGTCTTCAATTTCTTTCAAGTGGTGGTAATAGGGGCTAGGGCTCACAATGTCTGCAATGCAAATATAGCTATTTTATTTACTAACCAAACGACCCGTGAACCTACACATTTCTTCTGAGTTTTAATATGTAATGTAAGTAAGTAAGTAAAGTTTATTTATATAGCGCTTTTTACAACAGGTGTTGTCACAAAGCAGCTTTACAAGGAAATGAGCATTACAAAAAGAAATCCGGGTCCAAGCCCCTATGAGCAAGCCAGTGGCCACAGTGGCAAGGAAAAACTCCCTAAATGCTTGTAATAATAAAATAACAATAAATCTGGAAACAATAAGTTTTTTAGGGGACTGTTTTGTGTTATAGCGCCCTGCTTGTACCCTTCCACCATAAATGGATTTTAGAAATACATTGTAGGCCAAAACCTTATTGTAAGCCTATAGTAAAACAATCTGTCAGGCTTCAGGGACTGTATTCATAATTATTTCATGTAGTAATTTTGTAAGGAAGTCTTTTAGAGTCCTTAAACACTTTGGATGTCTTGTTCTTGTCATCAGTTCTAACTAGGTAAATTTCTCTACAACAAATCATTTCACATCAGACCACTCTGAATGACATTGCTTTAATGTTAGCAATGCTATCCAAGTTATTATGCAGAAATTTTGATTTTCCATTTAAACCTGGTCTGTGCGATTTCAGTTTCAGCCTAATGTGTTTTAGATTACTTAGTCACATCACTGCTCTGCATCTGACTCCCAACCAGGCCCAGCGTATGTCTACACAATCCAGCGGCGGCTACTCGTCTCGCTCGGCTGTGGATTTTGGCCCCAGAGCGCAGATGAGCCGAGGGGCCGGTGCAGGAATGATGTATAACCATGACGACAGCATGATGATGGGCATGAGTGGCGGCGGTTACCAGGGTGGCCAGTCTCACCACCAGCAGATGACCACGTTAACTCGCACCATGAGCCGACCTGCAGGCCCTGACCCAGAGATCACCTCCCTGCGCTCCTTGCGCATTCAGTCCCTTCCTCAGCAGCAGGTTTCAGCCACATGGATGACGCAGGATGGCAGTGAGGGAAGCCTGGTTTCGGATCATGATGCTACCTACTCGCGTCAGGACACAGCCTACGGAATGAGTAACGGGTACGCGTCTACATACCCCCGACAGGCTGTGTACTCCACTGCCAGCAATGGTTTCAGCTCTGGGGCTGTGCAGACCTCCATGACGCTGCCCCCCATGAGACGCTCTCTAAGTGGCACGCTGGCCCGTAGTGGAGGCGGAAGTGGAGTCATGGAGGAAGAAGCTTATGTTCGCCAGTCCTTCAAAGGCCCCGCGCAGCGCACCATCAGCAGAATCACCCAGCGCCAGAATCGTTACTCTATGTCCGCAGGGAGTGTCCAAGGAGGTGGAGGAGGAGGAGGGGGCTTTGTGATTGGTGGAAGCAGCTCCCAGGGTACCCTGGGCATGATGCAGCAAGGCAGGCTGTCCCGTGCTGCCTCAATGAGGAGCGTCATCAGTGTGGGCAAAGGCAAGGACGTGTTCGATGGAATGGATGTGATGGGTAGCATGGGCAACCTGAGCGGGTGAGACATACACACATATACAGAAGCAGTGAATGGAATTTACTTGGTTCAAATTCATTTGCACACAAATAAAATACAGGCCTATTTTATCAACACTCAACATGATTATTGCCAAAAGAACCCCAACTTAATTGCAGAAAATTGATTGGTGTTGATGTGTATATATATTGTCACTGTAATAAAAAAACCTAGTATCTCCAAAAATGGTAACATTACAGGAGAAGAAAAAACTTATTTTTTAATGTAATTTAAAAAAATAAACAAAATAAAATACAAAGTTATGAAGGGTTTTAAAGATTTGATATGACAGCGACAATAAATTATTCATATACAAATGGTGATATTAATAATAATAATAATAATAATAATAATAATAACTTCTAGCATTTACATCCAGCAAGTTTTACTAAGTGTTCTAAAAAAATCAAAAGTTAAACATAAAATATGAAAAGAGTCTAAATAAAGTTATGAATGAAAAATAAATACTAGAAAATTAAAATAATACATCTGTAAAATAGAATGCAATAAATGACAGAGTTAACGAACAGTTAAATAAATTGAAAGAGATGGGTCATGAGTCTCTTCTTAAAGGTACCTTCTTAAAGGTAGCTCTCAGATCATCCGGAACAGAAGTCCAAATGTGCTCATTTAAATTAAGTAAATTCAATGCATTACATTTTCAGTGCACTTGCAGTGTGTTTATGTAAACCGAAAGGTATGTTTATTTTGCACATGATAGGTTGGATAATTTTAAGATAACAAGAAAAAAAATCCTCCACCATGAAACAAAAACACAGCATTGTGGCTCACAGAGACCGTCTTACCAATGCATAAAATCATTAAACACACTAAAAAATAGTGCACTTAAATGACTTTTCAAATGTGCACATAATTTCCACATGAGCAAAATAATTACATCAGTACAGTTGTGGCAAAAGTGAGTAAACGTTGGGTAAAATAACTAGTGACAAACTGCTTTGTTGGCCCTGAGCACTCACAAATGACAAGAGCTTTACACTGTTAACACAGCACTGATCTTACTCACTTTCTGTGGATTGAATAAATACTTTTCTTGCACAAATATAAATCTACAAGAAGACTTAAAGTCCTTAAACAAAGGAACAGCCAAAATAAACATCTTTTTACGATTAAGATGAGATGTTTGTCTTCAGTGGGTCATAGTCTTAGAGCTAATGCTTTGTAGATGTTTAGCATGTTTATATTAAATATGCATTTATTTTTGTACACCACAATTAGTTTTCATTGTTGGGTTTTACACAGACAAATCAAAGCAAAATGAAATTAAAGTAATAATTTCACTCTCGACACAGTTCCCTACTGCTGAAATAGAATTTCCTTATATGCTTCAGTGAGGACAAATACCTCACATACATGCAGCCAAAAGCTTCCTCTTTCCCATCTAGTGAAAACTGGTCTGGTGAATTATGCAAATGAAAATGTCTCAAATTAAAAATGCGATAGTTTAAGAAGAAAGACTGCATAGACACAAAGAAGCATAAGAATAGAAAAGCAATGGACGAAAAGGAAAGGATAATGTAGACATTGAGTTGGGGGGCTGACCTTGGAACCTGTCAAACAGGTTATTTATGCATTTGTCGTACATTTTACAAATCCACTTTCACTCGACTAGCTGCTCTCTGAGTGTGAGTTATTTGATGTGGCCCAGCCCTGTGCTCCATGTGTGTCTGTGTGTGTGAAAAGTGAAAAGTGAAACGCCCAAACCAGTCCAGCTAACTAACAATCGACACACCCTGGTAAAGAAACATGCTGCCCACCAAGTTCGCAACATACACACATGCCAGTCTTTGTCACAAACAATGAAATACAAAGTGACCCAAACTGGTATTTATTGTACAGTCTGTTCTACATTATCAGGTTTAGATGATAATTAGAAATGAATCCTGTAGAATCTGTCAGGAGAGGATAACCTGAAGAGGTTATACAGAGCCAAAGTAGACTTTATCCTTAAATAATTTCAGTAACAAGGCAAAATTTATATGAAATCAAAAGGACAGGTTCTTTTGATTTGACAAAAGAACTTGTCAAATCAAGGACATCTCAATATGCAACTGTTGTTTGTGTAACGTTGAAAACCTTAATATCTTTTTCTGTATCACACAGAATCAGTGCTCTGGACATGCCGACTGCTGTGACCTATCTGGAATCCTCTGATTCAGAACTGCAGGTGCTGGGGGCTGCCTACATCCAGCATGAGTGCTATCACAACAACGACTCCAAGAAACTGGTAAGATCTGTTGATTGCAAGATGAAGTGGAAAAACTAAATTTCTCTGTTTTGTGAAGCGAATATAAAACATTAATATGTTATTTTTGCACAGGGTCCTTGAAATACAATGGAGTGAATCCTTCTGTCTCTCTCTCTGTTTTGTCTGTTTCTCTGTCTCTTAGGTGAATCAGCTGAAAGGAATACTGCCGCTGGTTCAGCTGTTTACCAGTGAGAACGAGGAAGTGCAGCGTTATGCCACTGGAGCGGCCAGGAACCTCATCTATGAGAATATGGAGAACAAAGTGGCTCTTATGGAGGCCGGAGGAATCCCTAAGCTCATAGAAGCCCTGAAAGAGCAAGATGACGAGCTCCGCAAGAACATCACTGGTAAGCACTGTCATTAATAATTGTGCATTATTCCTCACTGCAAGTAACCACCATCATGTGAAATGGTTGCCATAATTAGTGAATAGTCAATATGAATATTTAATTCAAAGTTCAATTTAAATTATAGTGCTTTTTACAATGGACGTTGTCACAAAGTAGTCTGAGCATCTGATGTCGGAAACAGTGTCCTAAGAGCATGAAGGAGAAACCTTGGACAAATCCATCCTCCTCTAGTCCGGATAGCAAAATTACAGTAATGATGGGAAATACGGATAAATAGAACTGAACATTGCAGAGCCTATATCTTGGACAGCCTGTAGACTTTGATTTAGAAAGGAAACATTGTTAAAGTTTCAAAACGAGGCCATACAGTGCATGTATGTAAACTAACCTGCAAAAATAGCTTGTTTTGAATTCATTGTTTTTGTGATATCATGAAAAACCAGAGCATTGACATGTATAGCCGTGTGCAAAAGTTTGAATACCCCTGGTGAAACGTTTTATTGATCTTCTGAGAGAAAAAAGTTAACAAGTCCTCTATGGAAAACTTGTAGTGGGATGTTATAAGGGCTTTTAGTGCACAGTTTCTATTTATTTGCTGAGTTTAACATATTGAAATTAAAAAAAAAACATAAAAATACAAAGTGTGTCATAACTTTTGCACAAGCAACAACTTCTGTTTATTTCTGAAATGTTAAATTCAGCAAATAAATAGTAACTGTGCATTAAAATGTGCAGAAGTGTGTTGTCTGTAGAGGATGTGTTTTATTTAGAAAATGTCATTTGACCAGGGGTATCCGAACTTTTGCGTACCACTGTATCTGCCTTCAAGATCAAAGATCCTGAACATGCATTCAAATGAATGGGTTCGTCTGTTTCCCTACATTTAGGATTTGGGGATAGCTTATTTTGGATTAGCAGATGGAACAGAATTCAATCATCCGCTGTGTGAATAGTCTTCTCTGTTTGCTAACCTGTGCCACAAAGCACTGCTATCACACAACCGGCCTTGAGCTTGGCTCGCTATCCGAACAGCGTTTGCGAGGCTGGACTTCCATTATGGGTGTGGTGAAGTAGATATGCTGATAACAGTTGTAAAACTTTAGAATCATTCACAACACAAAAGCACATTGTAATCAGGTGTAATCCACAAAGGAGTGGCACTTGATTAGATACTGTCATTCGATCTGCACAGCTGTGGCTGGTTTCATTCTGCGCATGGCTGCAAACTAGAAGTAACATGACTGGAAGGCTTTAGCTTTCAGGCTATGTTTCACCCACATTGCTCTTGAATCAGCCACTGAATTAGCATATGATGTATGAAGGGAGTGAGAAGTTTTTCTTTTGTTTTTTTAATGGGAGAAAGAAGTGGATGCATGTGTGTGTGTGTTCTCTAGGGCGTTGGCTGTGCTCTTTCAGTAAAGGGGTGTTTACTGTTGCGTTGTCTTGACTTGTATTTCGTACTCATGGCAAGTGAGCAGTGAGTCAGTGCATACACTCATGGCAAGTGAGCAGTGAGTCAGTGCATACACTCAAAAAACTTTCAGTAGTAGTGTTTTTTCTGATAAAAGTAAGTCTTAAAACACTTTTAAAAAGCATACATACTTATGATCAGGATAGATAGTGTGTTTTGGTATTTAAGACATATTTTTCACTTTCTTGTCACTGTTCTCCGCAAAGTAATTTTAAACAAAGGTGGAGACAGTTGTGAATCCTGATGGTTAGCTGGCATTATTATATTAGCTGCATTCTAGATTTACTGTTCTGTGCAAAGGATTAAGCTGTTTATTATCTTTCACTGTAGGAATTCTGTGGAATCTTTCCTCTAAGGATAATCTGAAGGAGAGGTTGGCAAGGGAAACTCTTCCTAAGCTAACTGAGGAGGTACTGATCCCTCTCTCTGGCACTGGAGAAAGAGAGATCATCGAGCACACTCCCTCAGAGGCAGATATCTTTTTCAACACCACCGGCTGCCTCAGGTGCATTCACACCCACCAACATCTACAAAAATGCAAATATGTCATGTCCTGGACTGTCCTGTAGTGGTGTAAAAGTACATGCAGTCTCTCTGACGTTTAATAAGGTCCTATACTGACTCTTTCTACCTTTCTTCCCTGTCTGCATTCTTGTCTGTGTTTAAGTCTATGTCTAAATGCTGTAACTGAAGTACAAAACACACACATCAGGACGTATCTCGTCTGTATTATATATATCCTTCTGGATCGCAGGGTGCATTTTATATATATATATATATATAAAAGCACAGAAGCACAGTTATTGGATAAATAAATGGTTTAATTTGCTGTGGTGCCTAAGACTTTCATACAGTGCTGTATTTATCTGTCGCTATCTATATCTAATACCTTTTAAGGCAACCACTAATCTTTTCCTTAGTAACCAAAAAATCAGTCATAAAACTTTTTAAAAGTCTGAACAATTCTGTTTGTGCTGCAGGTTATCTCTGTTTTTTTCTGGTTTTCCTACAAAGACAGGACATTTTCCTAACCAAGCTGTCCTTTTCCGCTGCAGGAACCTAAGCTCAATAAATGAGAAAACCCGTCAGCAGATGAGGGAAACTCATGGCCTAGTTGACGCTCTTGTGGGCTACATTCATAGCACTGTGAATGACACCAGAGTAGAGGAGAAGGTCAGCTCTGCACACATCACTTTAACTCACTCTGTCCTGCTTATCTTCCCCAAATACATTCCCACAAGCAAAACAAGGTCTAGGCTTCCGTTGGAATGTGTGTATTGTGTCATAGGTGTCTGTTGATTGTAAAACAAACAGCCCTTTTTACTTAGTTGCTTAGAATTTTAATTTATTTTTTCAATTAATTACCATTTATTATTTGGTAATTGCATAACTTTAAACAATTGACTGAATATTCAAGGGAACATATCATGGAAAAGCTAATTTTCCTCACTTTTTTCTAAAATAAAAGTATTTGGTAGAGTTTGTAAACATTTTCACAACATTCACTATCCAGTCCATATAGTCCATGAATGGAAATTAAACAAGCTGTTTTGAATTAGTTTTTGTGATATCACAAAAACCTATGTATTTACATAAATTATTCACGTTGAAGTTATAAGGAATGTTTTACCCAGACTGCTTTTTGAATGAGGCACAATACAAAGAAGCCAACCAGAACAGATCTTATTTAAAGACAAAGAAACAGCCTGCGCTCTTCTAAGGGATAAAGAAAGGCTTGAAAATAGTGATGTAGATGGCTATTTACGGTACATAAAATCACATTAACATTATAAGTGGATCTCATGGGAAAATATACAGGACAAATGTGAGATATGGGCCCTTTAAGAAAAGGTAGTACATTTTGAGTCTTGAGAATCATGTGGAATATGTATTGCTATGTATTTATGTTTGCTTTGCCACAGAATATTGTAACTGTAAAGTTGCATGACTTTGTACACATTAAAATTCTCTCTCTCTCTCTCTCTCTCTCTCTCTCTCTCTCTCTCTCTCTCTGGCAGGGAGTGGAGAATTGTGTGTGTGTGTTGAGGAACTTGTCCTATCAACTGTACAGTGAAATTCCCCCCTCAGCCCTGATGCGCTTGGAGGGTCCAACAAGAGCTCAGGCAATGTCCCGTGGAGAGGCTATCGGCTGCTTCACTCCTCAGAGCAAAAAAGCCAAAGATGTAAGGAACACCCCGTTCTCTTTCTGTACTGGAATATCATGTAATATTCATTCCATTGTTTGATGTTTGACTTTCACTTTTCATTTTTAGCTTGTGCCCAAAAACATCACTATGTTTTTGTCAGTCAGCGAACTCACCTGCTTGATCTAGATAGCAGTTACTTTGAGTGGTGAATACAGAATTACATTCTGGTATATTTAGTTTTGACAAATTGCTTTTTTTTCTTGGTCCTCAGAGACAGGATAAGGACCTGACTACGTTTACAGAGGTGGCACGAGTGCCAAAGGGCATTGAGTGGCTGTGGCACCCGAAGGTGGTAGAACTATATAATCTTGTCCTGCAGCGCTGTGAAGTCAACACCGTGACCCGAGAGGCTGCTGCTGGAGCCCTGCAGAACATCACAGCTGGAGACAAACGAGTATGTTCAGTTCTCTGTGAAACCTTTATTATACCTTGAAGGGAAATTTGCAAACAAAGCCTAACAACATACAACATGTGCACATGCATACAACAAACAAAGTGTACATAACACATACCACATATTCAATTCGGTAAAAATTAAAAGTGAATGTTACAAATTCAAAAACCCTTTGACGTACGTACAACACCTGACTGTGGAAATTGCCTGAAGTTAGTAGAAGTGGACTGGTGTGTTAGATTGGTATACTGCCATGTATTTTGCATTAGTTAAGCTTGCTTAATTTATGCTGCCTTTTCCCTTTCACACACACAGTGGGCGTCCATCCTGAGTCGTGTTGCCTCAGAACAGGAGCGCATGTTGCCTGTGGTTCTAGATCATCTCAGAACAAATAGTGATCTAGAACTGCGATCCCTCACTGGCTTGCTCAGAAACCTGTCTCGTCATGCCAGGGACAAGAACGACATGGGTAAGTCCACTTTTCTGTAGGATGGGCAATATGACAATATTTATCATTATTTTAATAATTTGTGTCTCAATGTTTTTCTGAGCAAATCATGAAAAATACTGAGCAAATTGTCAGTACTTAAAGAACACTGACCAACTCCATGTTTCATTACAAAGAGAACATAATTAGGCCTGTTTATCTGGATTTAGTGGAGAGTATGTGAAATTTTGACTTAAAATCATTGTATTCATAGTTTTTGGTTGCATTTTTAAACACTACTAGTCAGTTCCAACTCATCATACCTTAGACTACTAAACATTGCTAGCCAGTGTTTCTCAGCCTAGTTCCTCCAGTTCCTGGAGGCCCACTGCCCTGCCCTTTTTACTGTTTTCCCTGCTCTCAACACACCTGATCCAGCTAATCAGCTCAATAAAAGCCCATTATTGGGTTAAAGTGAGGGTGTTAAGGCAGAAAAAGCCCTAAAATGTGCAGGGTGTTGGGCCTCCAGGACCAGGCTTGAGAAAAACTGTTGTTAGCCATATCATGTACCGAAACAAAGTCCTCAAGTATTGTGATGTTATATTTTTGTAATCTCACCCACTCCTGCATTTCTAAGAATGAAAGCTGCACTGAAAAAAGTAATGCTTTGAATTTCCTTCATTAAAATGTAATAAATAAAATAAAATGTATAACATCAATGCAGTTTTAATAACTAGGTTGATATATTTTATTAACGTGGAAATTATGTATATGTTTAAACGACGTAATGTGTGTGTGTTACTTTTAAGCTTTCACTGATAGAATCTTTCAAAAACAGAAAAAAATAAATACAGTTGTATATAAAAATTTGAACACCCTTGGTCAAGTTTTGTTGAGTTTCTCAGTGAAAATAACTCAACATATTCTCTATAGAGAATACAGAAAAAATGTAAATATGGCCTTTTTCTGCTCATCTTAATGCATGATTTCATACATATCATTTTACATATTGGGACAAAATAAAACATGAACTATAAAGTGTGCCCTTCTGCACAGACCACATTTTATTTATTTCTAGTATGTTATTTCTAATATGTTAAATTGTGCATGAAAATGTGCAAAACATGGCCAAAACCGGGAATGCCCAAACTTTTGCATTGAACTGTATGTGAAAACTACAGATGTCCACTTTGTTGTAAAATAACAGTATTCCCTCTCTGTCCTCATTCAGCCACTAAAGTGGTGAATAACCTGGTAGCCAAACTTCCAACTGATGGCTTCCAGAAGCAGCCCTCCACAGATGTGGTTGTAAACATCTGCGGCGCTCTCAACAACCTTGTGATCTCCAGCGAGGTGGCAGCACGGGACGTCACCTACTTCGATGGTCTGCCCAAGCTCGTGGGCATCAAGAACTCTCATGATAGCAGGTAAGAACCCAAAAGACACATGACTAGTGACTGAAAGCATCTACTGTTCAGTAAAAACATCCGCATTTGTGTACATTGGTCACTTTGCCTTAACATTCACTACAAAGCATTCTTTGCAGATTAGTTTACTAACATAGTCTTCTCCTCTTCAGTTCTGAAAAAGTGAGGGCAGCCAAAGCAGCAGCCACTGTCCTCTGCAATATGTTCCAGTATAAGAAACTACACAAAGACTACAAAAAGGTAATATTAAATCTGATATATACTAGCTTCATTTATTTCCCCTTCTTCCTATTAGAGACTAAAATGTATCAAACAAGCCACCATAGATTATGTATTGCAATATCTTGTGCTTTTGTTTGAACTGAATTGATTTGAAAAAACTTTTATTGTTTATTTAGTTTTGAAGTACAGTAAAATGTAAAGCATTTCTGGCTGTCTGTATTGAAAGATGTGACACATTGAATTTATTTGATTTGAATGTGTGCATTATTTCTATATGAATATGTGAATATAATCTATATTTCAGTTTACCTACTTGTCTTGGCAATATGTGTGTTCTTGCTTGTAAATACAATAAATAACAATAAATAAAAACAAACACTAACACGGTAACAAGAATTGTGTACAGTAACAAGGCTGTTTTTTACTGCGCCTTTTAGTCTGGCATGTGTAAATGACCTTTCTTTTGATTGGCTCATTTGAAAAGCAAAAAAAAAGGACAAGCTTAAACACTCCTTCAGTGTTAATAGGCAGGGCAGGGTTTGCAGCTGTATGTACTGTATGTTCTGGGAAGTGAACTGTATGTTTTGAAACTTTAACAGTGTTTACATAGTACAACAAAATCCTTTATTTAAAAAAAAGTGAGGAAAATTTAGTTTTCCGTGATACGGGCCTTTTTAATGTTATTTGTATGTATTCTAATATTAGTGTTTTTTTCTGAGCAAATAAATTTTTACTGCCCAGTTAAATTGCTTTTTAAATTGAATTTTCTCATGTAACTGAGACGTTTGCACAGTACTGTACTTTTGGGACTGAATGGGTTGATTTATTTTTGTGCAAATTAGAATCAAGTCAGTTCAGTGCATAATTATTTCAGCGCGCATTGAAAACACCTTTAAAGCCACGATAGATGAATGTTGAAACAGTACCATGGGTAGCATTGGGCTTTATAACAGATACCATGCTATACGTTTAAGACAGTGGGTGGAGATTTATGGTGGTGTTGTTTTTGTTCAAAGTCCTCTTCAACTGCTTTCACAGAGCTCAGTTGCAATACCAAAAACTTGCCTGTCATAGGGCTTTGAGGAGTCATTTTGAAAAACAAGCTGCTAAAGAGTAACTGTCAGCTCAGAAAGCTCCTCCCTCAGATATTGCACGGTAACATGTTTGCTGAGGGACTAAAAGCCTGGGGTTACGGTACATCATCTTTGAGCCATGCTCTCCACCCAGCCCTGCAGCCATTTTTCAGCTTTAAAAAATTGGGTTGAAAAAGGACAGACACACACACACACAAACACACACACACAAAATCACGCTCACACAACACACACAGAGCTTATTCGCATGTGGTTCTGTTAGGGCAGGAAAAGGTGGAATCATGCCCTAGACCTGTCAGGTGATTTCCTTATGAGCGTGTCCCAACACACCACAGTATGCCTCCATTTCACAAACCTGCTCTTGTTACAATGAAAAAAACTCAAAAGAGAAATCATTAATGACTTGTCAGATAATTCTAACCTCTTTGTCACATTGTGGATGATCTCTTTTGAATTTGCTCTACTTCCATTATTTAGTGAAAAATGAAAGAATGTGTTTCTTTGGCATCCATTTTCTTTCGTGCTTGTGTTTGTTAGTGGCTGTTTATCACAGTTAGAGTCATATGATCGCTCTGAAGCCTTTAAACAATGTTATCATGGCTGAGTTCTCCATATTTGCGTGTCATGCTCTGTGTTTGAATTTGCTTATGTGTTGTTTCTGTTTTGTGCTTTATAGAAAGGATTCCAGAGACAGGATTTTACAGACATATTCTAAATGAGGACAGCAACTGTGAGAATGTAACTACGTGAATGTGGACAATCCTGTAAATAAAGAATGACGTGATACAAGAAGAATAGTGCAGAATTGGATACTTCAGCTTTCTGTCTGCTGTTCAGCTGTGTGTGCGTTCCGCTGTGTGCAACTTGGCCAGCTCAGCATGTCCTGCTCTAGAATACGGAAACAGCACATCTCAAAACCAACAGTAGAGTTAAACAGACGATTTGACGATGAGACTCAACTTTATCAATGGAGGTTGCGCCTTAACTTGATTCTTCTTGACCTCAATTTGTATCTTCATCAGGGATTTTTGCACAGTAATGATAGTCACTCTCAGCAGCATGCAGACTGGACTCTTATTCTACAAAACACTGGATTTTTCCAATAACACATATACTGGACACAGTCCAGGGGTGTTTTCCTTCATTTTTGAATTGTAAAGTACTGACAATGTATTTTGTTGTTTGTTTGATTGTTTGTTTAACATCAGATGTCTGAGTGAGAGGGTTGTGGGATTTACCAGCAATGTGAGAAATGCGAGTGCTATATATTGCGTGTATTGCACAGAGATTGGAAGGGTATAGATAATAGAATAGATATCTGGTTATATGCATAATGAAAGTGCATTCCATATTTCTGATGTATATCCAGTTCTGTATACCATAGTAAATAATCTACATAGCACCATACAAGCCTTCTATCATTTTACTTTTTTGAATAGCTTTATTACTTTGTAAATGGTGCTTATTGATTTATCTAGCCTATTGGTAACACTTTGCCAGCTAACTTCAGAAGCATATGTCAATCCTGTTCCAATTGTTGGTAACAGAAGTTATCAGAGCTGTAGCTCCTGTATTTTCATAGTATTGCATTAAACCCTGATATGGGAAAATGCGTAAGTTCATTTGAATGTCTGAATGTAAATGTTGCTCATCACTGCATTGCAAAGCACTGCTTACTCCTTTACAGACAGTATGTAAAAAGTTTTTTTTTGCTTTAGCTATAAATAGATTTTTTTTATATATGATTTGCTGAATTACACCTTTGTTCACAGATATTTCTGACATTTCTGAGTTATGCTATAGGTCATATAATATAACTTTAAATTGTGCAACAAATGGGGCGACTTGTTCTGAGCTTTTTCAGCAAAATATTTTTTCAGTTTTTTAAACTGAATGGACGGTTCATACTGGTTGGTGTAGGTGTGTAACTTTGTAACTTGGTGTTTATAATATAACTACAATTTTATTATATTGTGCTCAAGTTCAATTATGACATGTCTTTGGATGTTAGGAATTAAAGTGACTTCACATGTTCTTGCCAGTGAGATTTTTGCACAGGTTATATGTACGCAGCAGAACACAAACACTGCCTGTTTTATCAAATTCCTCAGTAATAGATATCATTATCCCCACTATGTCTGCTTCACATCTCACTGTAAAATGCATCCTTAAGTGTCATATGTGCCATGTTAAAATAAATAAAGGGAAGTTCTAATTGAATGTTGTATGATTTATTGAAAAGAAAACAGATGCACACAGGAAGGAAGTGGCTGAGCATTGTTTTTAAAATCCTAATGTGAGTGATGTGCCTCATGGCCCAGGTATAATAAAAAATACTTTCCCTCTGTTCAGACATGAACATTCCACTGAACCACCCTTCCCTCAACCCCTGTCTGCTTCAGGAGCCACAGTCAGCTACTACGAGGCCATGGGGGTTTCCAAACACCTTTTCCTTTTGTAGATACATAGCACATGTGATCTCCAACACCAGGTAATTCATGTCACCATTTTTTTCTTTCCTGTTGCAATAGCTTGAATGCCCATAGCTCAGCTTGGCTCCACCTACACCCGGAGGGGAGCACATCTGTGTACCTTTCACTGAATTATAGGGTACATGTTCTCACACTCAGACAGACAGTATATATCTTTTGCTGTCACACTCTGTGTTATCAACAGTCTTGCCTGCTGTGCAAGTTCTTTTATAAAGAGTAATGATTTATCAAAACTGCAAGCAGAGACTGCATAGAAGAAACCAGCTTTGGGAAGTCATAACTACACTGTCAGATATGACACTATTTTATAATATACCGTATTGCATATTACAGTATAGACGGTAATGTGTTCAACCAGGTATATATTGTGGAGACTCAGAACATGGATCATACTTCAGAGGCTTTTGCTTTGCTGCCCTCTGCAGGTTTAAAATAGTCATTACGTCCTCAAGTAATCCACCTCATTCTGAGAGACTTGCTATACAGAGGCGTGACTTACAGAGCTGATACTTGTTAAGTCTAGCAGAGTCAGGAAGTTTCACTCAAGGAAAACCTGAGACACTCTGACACAACAGATGGACAACATAGTTACTTCAACAGCATATTTTATTGAAATATATACATATATTTTACACATCAGTAACCAAGAATAAGGTGTTGTCTAAACATAGTGCACTTCAGTGCTTTCAGACAGTATATTTATGTGCTGTAGGTATCAAAAAGTTAACAAAATATTGCTTTGTTGGAGGTAGTACTGCGATGTACTACATGATGTTCCAGGGCTATATAATCATATGCAAATATTTGGGCACCCCTGGTCAAATCACTTGTTTTGTTGATTTAAAATGAAAAAATGCACATCCTCTACAGAGAACACACTTCTGCACATTTTAATATACAATTTGACATTTATTTGCTGAATTTAACATATTGGGGAAAAATAAAACAGAAAATGTAGTCTAAATAAAAGCTCTAGCTCATTTTATATTTTATTTTGTCCACTACATTAAACACAGCAAAAATAGAAACCGTGCACTAAACTTTGCAGAAAATGCCATATTTAAGTTTCTTCCCGTATATCGCCGCCGGAACTGTCTGAGCATTTTTCAGTTTTTTGACCTAATTTGAAAGTGTTTGCTGCCCTTTACACAGAGTGTTCATTTCATGGTGAATGGGCAAAAAAAAGGCCCGAAATTACCGAAAGTCTGGTTCCATTGACTTTTTTCCTTCTTCTATAAAGCTAGCATTTAGGAGATACAAGATTTTGTTCTGACAGCAGCATCATGATGTATGAATATACAATATGACTGGGGGTGTTCAAACGTAACATACATATAGCCATTCTGTAAACTACATTCTTTTATTATATATAATTAGAAGGGCTTTTATTTGGGACTCTCAGAAACATTTTCAAAATGGCACACATTCAGATTATTCAAAGGATATGGATGTGAGAATGATGAATCTTCATAAACTTGAGCCCTTAAATAATGAAACAATTATTTATAAGTAAATAAGGAGCTAAATTTTCCTAATCTGGTCACATTCAGTCTTCTGAACACATACATCTTCACAGATCACATAAAGAAAAGGTGAAAAGATTGAGGGCTTCCATTTTGCCCTGGACACAGTGGAGTGAAGGAGAACACAGGAGTGTGTGCTTGAGGTTTATATATCATCCTCAGTAACCAGACAGTAAAAATCAGTTCTGGCAGCGTAGCTCCTGGAGCCCAGGTCAGACACATCTATCTCTGGAGCTTTGGCCTCAGCTGCTGGATCAGGAGCTGCAGGGAGTACTGGAGCTTTGGAAGGCAGTGTCTTGTAGATAGGCAACCGTAACCCTACAAGAGGTGATATTTTTGTCATATTAAAGTACACAGGAAGAAATCATGTCAATTATTTCAGCTTTTAGGCCTATTCATTTCTGAAAGTACTTTACTCCTAGCTAACACAAGCCCAGTGCAAAGCATGTGTAATAGACACACAGCACAGCGATAGAAAGTATGAGTTAAAGATGTCAGCAAAAACATTTGTAAACCCAGCGTTCTCCAACAGCACCAACAAACTCATAGTTTGGAGTGTATTATCTGTATGTGATTATTGGAAGACTCTGGAATATCCTACCTCATTCACACACACACTCACACACACACACACACACACACACAATCTAAACTGCTTATCCTTCAGGGTCGCGGTGGGGTGCTGGAGCCTATCCCGGCTGTCACTGGACGGAAGGCAGGATACACCCTGGACAGGTCTCTAGTCCATCGCAGGGCAGACAGACAGACATACACATTACCTCATTCACAGTTGTCTAGAATGTTCTCCCTCATTCGCATTGTTCTAGAATGTTCTCCCGTTCACACTGTTCTAGAATGTTCTCCCCATTCACACAATTTTATAATGTTCTGCCTCATTCACACTGCTCTACAATGTTCTCATTCACAATGTTCTAGAATTTTCTCCTTCATTCACACCGGTTCATTTGGTTTACCAGTTTTTATTCTGTGACAGTATAAAGCTGACTGCTGACATTACACTGTTGGTGTTTTTGGGAATGTCAGGTCAGTTTGGTAGAGCTCATTTTCTGGATTTGTATTGGGTTCAGATCATGTTTAAATTTTCTGTTCGGATTCTCACAGCCTACCTCCCACTTCTAACACATTTCCCCCTGCATTTCCCCCTCATATAGATGTACAATTCCTCTTTACTTTTGTTACTTTAAAACCATTTTTAATGTAGCATGCTGCAGCCACTAACTTTCAAATTTACCGCCAGAAATCACAAGGCCCACACTCATGACAAAATAGATGCATGGACAATAAAGCAGCAAATTATGAAAAGTTAATCCAGATGAAAAATGTTTGGCATATTGTTTAAAAGCATTGCTTGATAAACTCACTAAAACAAATTTAATTTAATTTTGGAAGGAATTTAAACTTACTTTTTTTTTTAACTTAAACTTAAACAGCTGATTAATGTATTGTATCATATTATTATATGTAGTTATTTTATTTGTGCATAATGTAATGATGAGTATTTCTGTCACTACACTGTAACGCTAGCTTTTTATTAGCCACTTTGGATGATGATGGATCAGATTCAGAGTTTTTTGTGGTTCGTGTTGAGTTGGTGTGGACAAAACTTTGTTGGGGTTGGGCTGGGTTTGGACTCAAAGCTTGATGTGGTTTGGGTCTGGTGACACACAGACTTAAAGTTCTCAGCCTGTATTTGAGGTCAGACTAAAATTTCAGGCCTAATCAAATCAAACAGCCTTAGTGTTCTTACCAAGGTCTCCAGCAGGGTCTGGGTCTAGTCTACAGTCCAAGTAGTCAGGCTGCAGGGTGAGCATGGGGTCCTTATCATCGTGGAGTAGAGTCTGGGGGTCTCCAGCTGACTTAGCATGGAACACCACCCTCCGTGGCATGGCCAAAGCCAACTCTTTCCAAAACCCAGAAGATGGGGTCTGAGGAGCAGAGTGTGCATGGAAGTGTCATGGAGTGATTAACCTGGAAGTACTCTTAGCACGCTATATCACTCCTCTTGTGTGGGTCGTGAGAGAGGCCTCACCATAGAGTGTGCTCTCCAGACTAAAGTGGTGATGCGTGCCTGGTGCTCTCGGAGTTGTTGGATAATGTCCAGACTCAAATGCTTCTGCTGAGACTGGAAGATGATGAAAATGGGCTTCCGAGAGAGCTCGAGCAGATGAAATAACCCCTGTCTAACAACATACCAAACCCCATACAATGATCAACCAGGTCATTTTAGACAAACTCCAGTCAGTGGTTTCAAGCCCTGGTCCTGCCCTGGATATGTTGATGTTTTCCTTGCGCAAACACTCCCGATCCAACTAATCAGCTACCTCTTAAAAACAACTGCATGTTTTTAAAAACCAAAACTTTAGCCGTTTGGATGATGTTACAATCTAAATGTTTACTTCAATGTAAAGACACCCTCCAGAGAAAGGATTTTCTAGAATAGACTATTTAATTCCATAGTCTTAAAACACCATGCACTGTTATAAAAAACTGTTTTTCAGGTCATTTTGTAGAAATGAAATCTAGTATAAATAAAATCCTTCTAAAATATACTTTAGAACAGGGTTAGGAATGAATGTATAAAATTTCAGAGCTGAGCTTTTTTGGTTCTGAATGTGAAGAATGTAAAGCTGATTTTGAGAAAACTAATTTTAAGAATACTCTCAGAACTGCATTACTCAGTGATACTTCTGTATCTGTATTGTGAATGTTGTCTTTAACATAAAAAAGTGGATATTTTTTTATTTTTCTAGTTAGATTCTACCAAAAGCTTTTCAGTGATGTATGACACAGTATTGTTGTGCTAAGTGTGAGCAAAGCTATGCCTACATTAAAATAGTTGACTGTTGGAAAATTCAGAGTGCATGTCATTTGACTAAATACGCTGAAATATGCTTATATGTGCTGACATATGATTACAGTTTAAGAGAGGACATGCCTATATTGTCCTGCCTTAAGAGAGTGTGAGTAAGGAAAACATGAAAATGTGCAGAGCAGGAGTACTCTGGGACCAGTGTTGGAAACCACTACAGAAAGTCAAATCAGAAAGATCTTTTGTCCATTTAAATTGTACAAATCCACACAAAAACAATACAAAAACACTAACATTTATTTCTGTTTCCCTTTAAAAGAAAATTCTTTTCATCTTTTTGGAAGCTCTTGTCCCATTAGCAGGCCTCTGGTCTTACCTGAAGTTGGTGGTGCACCACTCCTGCTCCAGATAGGACTGCGTCAGCACCACGATGAGCCGCCGACAACGACTACTGTCCATTACCAACTCTGCAGATGGCTCTGAGGACACAACCCACACATAATGACTTTGAAGAGATGAACAATACAATAACATATGAAAGGAAGATGAAATCATGGTGCAAAATATAACTAATATAACATAAAATTAAAATATACATACTTTATACATATATAGACACATAAACATATATACTACATGTTAACCCAATCTCCTTGACTGGATAGGCACTCAGAGGCTTTAATATGGCAGTCAGTCATTAAAGGGAGGAATGTACCTGCTCCAGGGAGAATGCTTGTGTCGTTGAGGAGTAACTTGTGCCCACACTTATTCTCCAGATGAGGTTTCAGGATAAAATTTACAAACTTCCGGTCATTCTCACTGTTTACGTATGAGATGTAGGCATCATACATTTTGCCATCTGAGTGCAAAAAAGAGGAAGTTTAAAATACTGAAGTGTGACCAATGACAGCTGACCACAGGTTACCTACATTATATATATATATATATATATATATATATATATATATATATAGTTATAAAACACTGGTTTGACAAATGTGTACAATAACTCAGCCTTACCATTGATTTCATAGTCTCCGTATTTGTTTTTATACCAGAGTTTGAAGTTGAGGTGGCACTTGGAATAGACAAAAGCAATCAGGACTAATGTTATCAGCATGACCACTGATGCCACCACTGCCCCTGTGTGACTGGGGAAAACTGGGTAAAAGACAAAAAAAAAAGATTTGACCTCACTGTTGTTATGTGTTTGTATATTCATTGACCTGTTTAAGTGGTATTCTATGGAGGATCAGATGAAAATGCCTTCAGTTTGTGATAAGAGGAATGGCAATGTTGATCTATAAATAAAGTCAAAGAGTCACCTGACACAGCAAAACAATGAGCACTGATAATGATATTTACTTTGCTCTACTGAATGTAAACTCACCTCTGCCAAACATTAAGCCTTAGAAGAGTTATTATAGTCATTTTGCTACATATTCAATTTATACTATATAATTATTTCAATGCATTTCACAATATCACAGTTAACTGTACAGTTAATTACATAATTAATTACATTGAAATATATACATATGAAAATATGCCCTCCTCTGCTTAAAAACACAGACGCACTGACTAAAGTATGGGGATAAGAGTGACTCCTAAGGGTTAGCCAGGCTACGAGCATGTGTTTTGGCCCCTGATAATGGACATGAATAAGTGATGTAGGTCTTACTGGTGCTCTGAAGGCTGAACGAGACTGTGCTGTTCCATATTTCACAAGAATAGAGACCAAAATCTGCCTGATTCTTCAAGTTCAACGTCAGAACACTGTTCACAATCTGCTGGCCATCAGCGGTAAGCCTGCAGAGCAATCAGTCACATTAACTTGCATCATTTTATGGCCATTACACCTGCACTGGACATAACACAGCTGCATATATCATTACTCATATTTCTAAAAAAAAGCCTTAGAATGTAATAACCGTGGCAATGAAAGGCATGATTTAATTATGCCACACATTTCCATTCAATCAAATTGAGTATATATGGACTCACCTCAACATAAAATGGAATCGCAATAAATATAATAGTAGAATAATAAATAGAACAATTTATGTCATTGTATTTTTAGTTTGTACCTCAAAATTTCTGAATGTATTTACAGTGCTTTGCATTGTACTCTATAATATCGCTGCTGTTGGAACAAAACCTTGTATCTCAGTTTTTGTAATTTTTCAGTTTTTGACATAATTTGAAAATGCCTGTTGCTCTTTACATTGTGTGTAAATTTCATGATAAACAGACCAAAAGAAACAGGCCAAAATGACATGAAAAGATGTCTGGTTCCACTGACTTACATTAAAAGTAAAGTATGTTGGTAACACTTTCTATGAATGTCACCTTTGTAAGCTATAAACACATTCATAACATGTTATAATGCATTCATAAGACATTATAAACATAGCTATAAATATTTATAAAAATGCATTATACGTTATAGCCATGTTTATTATGCATTATGAATTGTTAACATAATACATTATAAGTACTGATCATAACAAATTATGAGAGCTCATAAGTCGTATTTGTCCGCTCTAAGTAAAGTGAAGCATACTGTGAGGCTTCAAGTTGAAGTATTACTGAAGGATTTACTGAACCAGTAAAACATGCACAATAAAGCACATTACAGGCTTCAAATGTCAGATTTTAAACTAGGGCTGCCATCAGTGTTTTACCTAATGTGGGAAAGGTAATGTACACAACCGTTAGCTTGGTATTTGTTTTTACTTTACGCTCTCCAAGCTGGGACTGACTTCTTTGGCACTGACATTATAACATGTTATTAACACTATTTATAATGCATTATATTTACAATTCATAATGTATAATAAACATGGCTATAAAGTGTAATTCAGTGTAATTCTTTTTTATAAATATTTATATCCACGTGTATAATGCCTTATGAATATATTATAACATGTTATAAATGTGTTTATAGATGCTTACAAATGCGACATTCATAGAAAGTGTTACCAGTATGTTTTTTCTTTCTCCTGTAAAGTTACTATTTTGGAGATACAAGGTTTTGTTCCAACAGCAGCAATATGCATGTTTAAGGACTTGCATTACATGTGGCACACACCAGTAGGAGGTGTTCTGGGTGACGGCACTGAGGTTGGTCAGAGGTTGTCCATCTTTTCTCCACCGTAGATTGGCCTCGCAGTCAAACTCACTCTTATTGTAGACCATCAGTGCAGTGCAGTTCAATTCAACACTGGTGCCCAAGGCCCCCCACACCTCTGTCTGATCCACACTGGGCTTAAACTGTGGAGCTCTGCTACAAACTGACTCTGTGGGTGAGATAGAAGACCACTTTCGATGAGAAAAAGCATAAGACAGCTTTCATTTTCAGTTTACCTGCTTGATAGTGTTTTATTCATATTTTTGCACACCATGAAATGCCTTCTGGGCAGCTTACAGCTCTGGAAACCAAAAAATAAATGTAAGCGTCTGAATGTGTTTCGCTTACTCTAAAGAAAGCTGAAAGTGCAACCAACTTCTAAGACTGAACTTTGGAGCTTTGGAGGTGTGGAAAAATATCCCTGCAGATTTCTTTTAAAATCCAAAAGGAAACAGAAAAGAATGGAAGCTGTACTAATAATATATATGTTAAATTTAGTAGTTGAGGCTTCTGTGTATAATTTTTTCTTCTCTTGTACTTAATGGCTGTTTTGACTGAAAATTAAACATATGAAGGACTAACAGTGGAGCAAACTATGTTAATCATCTAAATCTAGACCTGCAATAAAGGAACTAAAGTATAAGCACAGTGTAAACAATGAATCACAAGGTTGTCTGGCCTATTGTAAGTGTGTATGGTACAGGTGTATGTATGAGTTCCTGAGCGCAGTCTCAGATTAAAACAATGATGTCTTTATTAGTGAGGTCTAACCTGTGTGGTGCGGAAGGGATATCTCATCTCAGCAGAACAGAGCGATACCTTACTCTCTTGAACAGGTGGGGGTAATACTCATCACCTCTACCTCATATTGCCCTTTCATTTCATTTCAGCACTGGGACCTTACCTTACTAATCACATATACTGAGAATTATTTAAAAATATTCTAAAATATATAATATTTTTCTTATTTCTGAGCTGAATGTGAAATCAAGCGAATATAAGTTAATGAAAAGTTAATGTAATGTATACCTCTTACATAAGAATCTAAAATGTCATCTATAATGAACATGAATGGATTTCAAATGCTCTTCATGAAGCTCTTTGAGGTCACGGCACTCTGATGAAAGGTTGCAGAGTAGAGAAGGAGCAGAGCACATTTCTTGTGTCGTTTATGCAAGTACACTTTCCCTGGTTCTCAGAAATGAGTCTGGGGAACTCTAGGCTTTATCCAGTGATGAAAGCTCAACCTGGCTACTGTATGAGTCTAGGCCTCCTTTTTTGTAGGTAGCATTATTTAGCCAACTGATAGCAGGAAGTGACCTGGAGGTCTGGAGAGCAGGTCAGCTTGTATTGTATTTTTCTGAAATACAGCACCTGCAATATGCTGCTCACTCACACATGACTGCTCCAAGAGAAGAGGCACAGACTGGATGGTCCTTTATGTGTTTTGGAAGCTGATGCAAACTGCAGTGACAGCAATGCCGTATAGTCAAAAACCAAATGCATTTGCTAGAGTAGATCACGGGAAATGACTAATTTGATCGATTTACGTAATTTAGATACAAGTCAGTTATGCAGCTGTAGTACAACTAAACCTGTCATCAATATAATTGCCATATAAATAATTGCAATTAACAATATAATTGCCTTTTTTTATTGTATGCAAGTATAGAAGTTTAACATGGCAAATTAGTTGATTAGCTACTTTGCTTCTTTGCTTCCCACTTTGTAGCTTCTAAATGACGACAGTAAAAACTTATAAACACTTTTTTCTTCTAAACATGTTATAGTACCAAGTCAGAAGCTACAACTTTTGTTGATTTTCTGAGACCCATCACGTATCTCAACAAAAGTGATCTCTGCTTCATTTTACTTCAACCTAACTGATGAAAACACACCCAGTTCACATTCTGTTTGTGGTGATGTAAACATATAAAAAAGCTAACAACTGTATACAAATTAACTGCGATCAGTTCAAATGATTGCTATCAACTGAAAGCATTGCTATCAAGCGATTATGTAATAATTGTGACAGGCATACGTAACAACAACATACACAAATATATCAAGTTAAGTCACTTTCCATGAGCTAATCAAATTTTACAGTGAATCAAAGCATTCTTTGGGTAAATAGAGCTAAAATATATGTTCAAACATATGTAAAACTCCCACCAAAGAAAGGAAGAATATCAGTCCAGCTGATGTTGATACACACTACTAGCATACAACACTACTAATGTTAACATACACTGTATTACAGTTCAGAAACTATTGCATTGGAACGACTGTTTTAAAGTGTGATCAAAACCACACTGGGACTCTACTCCATAAACTGTACTGTCCAAATAGCACTCAGCAACAACACATGGGAACAGGTGCAGGAGTGATCAACTGAGCGATAATGAGAAAGTGTGTTTGCACTGCTAATATATTCCAAGCACACTTTAGTGATGTCCTAATGGTTTGGTCCCTGTTGAAGGCTCAGGAAAGTGTGTAAGCAAGAGCAGGTGTGTATGTTAGATATGAGGAGTGGGTTTTAATTACCTCTAGCTCCACTTAAATTGATCACAGTGGAAAGTGACAGATCATGTTAAAGAGATTTAATATGACCTCACATTCACCAAGAAACATCTTGGTATATTTCTCTCTAATACCCCACAGCCCACAAATGTCACAAGTGTAGTTAGCATTTAAAACAGCTGACCACAGTTACTGCATCCTATCTGGTCAGAAACTTGAACAAACCAGGAAATAAAGCACTTAAAAGATCAGGTGGGTGAACACAAATATGACATCCAAGACCTGGTTTGCATCTATTCAAAAAAGGGTTGTGAACAGCTTTCATTAGGCAGGAGCAGCGATGAGGTTTTACATGTACGACACCGAAACTTCACACAGTTTTAAATGTGCACACAAAAGCTACGGTCACACTGATGGTAAACTTCACGACTAAGGCTGGCACAAACCAGCCTGTTGGCTTTCTCGTTATCTCTTGCTGCTTCAGTGTTTAACGTGTGCTAACAACAATAGATGTCAGAAGGTGACAACAGGTTTGGCCTAACATTCTTGTTGGTCAAGTAACCCTGAGCATTACACACTTTGTCCAGGGCTTGTGTTGTGTACAAATAACTAGTACCGCACTACACAGAAGACTACTGACCTATTTGCAGAACAGCCTTCAATTAACCTGTGAACTCATTATTACTCTCAAGTGGGATACTGTATCATTCTTTGCATCTCCCCTCACCGTCTACAGGCTACAAGCCTACATTGCTAATAGGTGAATGCTATGATGATACAATTTTCCTACCGCACACTAAATATTGGGTAGATACACCTACATAACACTTCATAACATCTTTATAACGCTGTGCTCACGCTCACACGGCTGTACTGCAGTCTAAGCTCCATCATTCATTAACCAGTTACAGAACTGTGCTAATTACTCACCGGGTCCAAAGGTAATGTTGGCCTTTCCGTCTGACATACAAACACGTTGGTTAACGCTTAGAACTGCACAAATCTGATGCTCAAACTCACGAGGGCTTCTTAGATTAGACCTGACGTGTCTATATTACTTTTCTCCACAGACAAACCTAGAAAAGTGTTAGGCTACTTTCTTCAGTCTTCTTATCGTCACTTTATTTTCTTCACGTACGTGTTTACATGTGAGCTGGTGGCTTCTCCCGTATGTTAAGGGACCGTGTTAGTTTCAACGTACACACAAAAGCCATGAAGAACATGTACAACCAAACGAATAAAGACGTTAAAAGTCTTACCTCCGATCACGACTGCAAACTGGCTCCACAAACACAAGAAGAGAAGCACCTGATTCTGCCCCATCGCAGCACAACTAGCAACACCTTCATAAATCTACACTGTATCTCTCCTCAGTGCTGGACTCTAAGCTAAGTAATCACAGCAGTGAATGTTGTGATGATGAGGGCGGAAAGTTAGAGCTCCATCTGATGAAGGTCAGAAAAGGACCGAGTCGCGCTGAAGCCGCCTCAACTACTGGAGACCGGAGTGCCGAATCACGTGACGCACGTCATCCTTACCTGTTGGGTTGTGTGTTTCCACCCGTATCCCTACACGCCCCGCCCCCTCCGCGCTATTATTGGTTAGAAGGCTCCCGTCTCTTAAGCCCTGATTGGCTAGCAGTGTCCGGCATCCTGCGGTAGGATTTGTGAAGCACATTTTAAACACTAAACGTAAACTAAAGTTTTACAAAAAACAGCATTTTCTCCGGACCTCATATAACAGAAATATTTACCTGGAGGGAGGACTGACTGTTACCTTTTAAAAACTGTGTCTGTAAAAAAGCAAAATAATTACATTTAAAGCTCCTTCATACAATTTAACCAGCAAACTCCTTACTCATTAAATTAAATAAAGTTATTCAGCAGTGTGTGTGCTTAGTGCAGGCAAAGTGATTACACGTTTATTCATTTGTTTTTTGAAGGTGTTATTTCTGAAAGTTTCTGAAAAAACGTAGCCCATCTTATCTTTAACTCCACTGATTACGAAAATAAAGACGATACTTGAGTTGTATTTTATTCAATTCTTTCATCTTTTTTGGCCAAATATCACAATAATAAACATAAATTTACCAACTCCACCCCTAAGCTGCACTGTTGTCTTTTTGAATTTACTCATACTTTTAACTTATAGAAAGAGCTTAAATGCAAAAAAGCAATTTATTATTAAAAGGATATTAAGAAAGAGGTTTTACATTGAAGGCAAACAAAAAAAAAAGCCAGCATAGGAGAAGAAACACAAAACAGATAGAACAGGAAGGAAAAAATAAAAATGTTAAAATAACAACAAAAATAAATATAAAAGAAAATAATAATTAAATGAAAAATGGATTGTAGCTCAGAAAAAAATATAATATGAAATAAGCAAAACAATATAATTCAAATAAATAATTGCACATAAAGTCAAATGATACAAAACTAGATAAAAGCTAAAGTATAAAGACATCTTTTCAGCTGCTTTTAAAAAATGCAACTGAAGACTGCTTGCTGTATGTCTTGCTGGATGTACTGTCTGAAATACGTCCACAGTTAGGAGCAGATAGAGATCCAAAGTTCATAAAAGGCACCACATGATCATTTCAAGTGCTGGTAAAATGAAGCCTCATTACATCTAAACTTGAGCATGTTGATACATTCTCCACATGTGATACAAAAAGAAGGCTTTGCATCTCTGTTCTTTTCTTTACAGAGCTCTTTGCCATCTTGTGAAGGTAGGAATCATTTGATACAATAAAAGTCTCTTAACAGCCTTGTTAAAGTACCTGAACTACTCAAGCACCAAAACTGAGAATGAATATCGTATATACATAATGTTTCTGCAAATTTGAGCAAAAATTGTAAACACACATCTGAATATAGGAGAGTCCATTTTTTTCCAACAAATTCCAACAAAATAAGTTTAAAAAGTTCATAAGTTCATCAATTGACCAGATACACAAAGTGTCTAGGAGAGTCAAAATTAGAGAAAATATATTTTAATGATTATCCAGTGAAATTTCAAGCCCAATGAAAAGTGTAAATAATAAGCCATCACTGGGGGCATAGACGGGCTTAGCGTGACCTGAGAAGAGCTGTGAGAAAAATAAACGGCTTAACATACACAGTTGTTGGTAACTAATGCCAAAATATTTTCATTAGAGTTTTTTAAAGATACATTACATTTGATTTGTTGTCTGTGTCGTTCTTATACTGGAGTCAATGAAATCTCTGTATCATCTCTGAAAGCGTGTTATTTGGGGGAGGAATACCTGAGAGTTTCTAAAGAGAAGAACTGCCGCTCAGTATTGTCTTCCGAGTTTGTCTGACGCTTGAGGGCGCTGCGGAGCGAGTCCACAATAAAAGGGCTCCACTGAGCTTACGTGCAAAGTTATAGTTTGGAAATAGAAAAAAAAAAACACTAATTTTCTCAACACAGACCACCATGAATATTTCAACACCGTTATATTTTGAGCGCCTTTGAACTCAAGTTACAGGAATTTATTTGCAGCCAGGGTGATTATTTACACAAAACAAACTAAATAAATAAATAAAAAACAAAAACAAAAAAAAAAAGAAAAGGAAATAAACATTATAAATAAATACATAGGCAAATAAAAAGTCTTTACAAATGTTGTAAGATGCCAACAAAAGAATCATTGGGGTCACAACAGTATTTTATACAGCTTTATTCATTTATTCGTTTATAAATAAGGGGAGACAAAGTTTTATATTTCTAAATTTGCATTTGTGTATATATTTTGCTGGAAAAAAATCCATAATGCAAACGTTTTCTATTTCATAAGCATGAAATCTGAACAATACATGCTTAAAAGTAAACATGAAATCTGCACAAATTTTAATTGAGTTCAGAAGATCAGAGAGAATTTCTCTGTGTGGCTGCAGAACCAAAATCAGTGAAGAACTGTTTCTAGTGGACCTGCACATAAAGTACATTTGGTATCAATATCCTTTTTAAATCCCTTGACTAAAGCTTTTAGAAGGGTAAAATCTATGAATTAACCTGTAAGACTCTTCTCTTACTCTGGTCAAGTAATAATTTAGTCCATTCTTTCCTTCAAGAAATGTTTTCAACAAAGCTAATTCAAAATCAGTCAACATCCTGGATCCTAACAGCATTTCTCTGAAACAAGTTCCTGATTCTTATGAAAGCTGATGAATAGCAACTCTCAGAAGTCTTTGTATTTTTTGTGTTGTATTTTTCCAAGAATTCTCTGTAGTTCGTTAGAAAGCTGTTTGAGTTGAAAAGAGGATATCGTTTTTCACCCAGTTTTCAAAAAAAATGTTGACTTTTTTTTGTAAAAAATGCGTTTGTTATTCCAAATAATATATTAACATGAAGAGAATTTGTGCTTATAAAGCCACAGTAGAAGTCTTTGTTTACCACAGTTTGATTACTTGACAGGGATTTTATTAATGTCACAATTACACCTCAAGAGAAGTCTAGTACCACCCATTTTGGAGAAAATAAGATGAGGGATGAGATTACAAAAGAAAAGAGACTCTTAAGACATTGTTTAAGCCAGTTTATTTTGATGGTGTAGTTAAGTGTTGAGAAACTGTGTTTGTGTTCATCATAACAGATTTCTTAATATACACACATACATGATCTAAGCCACTTATCCTTAGGCATTTTGGCCAGAAGTGTTACTAATATGCCATCTTTGGGTGGGCAACAACCACAGTGCTGCTTTTCCTAAATAGGGTATGTAAATAACAACATAGTTTAATGGGGGCAGGCAAAAGGAATACAAAGTATAGATTTTTGTGGGGAGGTCCAGGGCCATTAACCTGTGAAAAAAAAAAAAAACGTAAAATTTTGACTTAGATTTTATGATGAACAATGAGCATTTGTATGAACTAAAAAGGGGAAACTTGTGAGCAAATTTTAGTTTGGATTTTCAGGCTACAATAGAACAGAACGCACAGGGTCAGGCAGCAGTGTCTGTATGATGAGCGTTTGTATGATGAACTATGATAGTTCTGCTTAGGATAGAATGATGTCTAGGCCCAATATAATTACCAGATGCAATGAAGCTTTTTTTTTTATCCCCAACATGCACTGGGGTTGGGAGTCACTGTTTTTTATGAGCCATCTATCCATGCTGGAAGATTCACCTAGCGAGCTAAATAAAACTAATCGTGTGTAAAATGATTTTATACCTACTCAATAAGCCAGCTCCAGTGAATAGCAACAAATAAGCTATAGCTTGCCTGGAGCTGGCTAATCACTAAACCAAGTCTAATACAATACAAGGCTACTAATATAACTTCTAAGAACCTGAGAAAAGAATTAACTTATCAAAAGTATAAACAGTTTTACTTGGATTGCTGTGAGCAGCTATGTACAAACTGGTGTAGCAGTTCACTTTACCATGTCTGTTCTGCATGTGTGAAGAAGTGCCTGGTCTGGCGATAATGTAAAGGAGGAGCACTGACTAAGCACACCCACACCTTCAAAACGGCCAATAGGAAAGCAGTGTATTTCAAATGAGCAATAACAAAATTATCTATAACAAAAAAAAAAACTATGAACATTCAGAAAATAGCTATAGCAGTGATGTTTTTCAGAGTTTTCACTGGATGGGCAGATGAATCCTCTGGGTGGGCAAGGCTTATCTCTAGGAGGGCAATGCCCAATCAAGCCCAGCTGTAGACATGCCTCTGGTTTTAGCCAGAGTATCCCTGGTGCTTCAACGCACTGCAGCAGCTATGTTCTTATGAATATGAAGGTCTGAAACTCAGGGACCAAACTCTTTAACTGCTGCATTAAAAGCTTCTGATAAATCTCCTGTTGGGGATGAATAATGTTCTTCCTTGAAAAACATCTCTGCCAGAGAGTCACAGTGAGAAATTTCCTCAAATATTTTTAACATTTCTTCAGTCACTTCATGAAGTGACATAGCAATAATCCCAGCCACATCTCTCCCCAATTTCTTAACTTGCAGTACACCATATGTATCCAGCATGAGGAGCATATGGTTGTAGTTCACAAGTGGCAGTGGCAGGTTGCATTTAATTTCTACCCTGGAGATGGTAAGGAATTTTTCATGAATGACAATACTCAGGTGAACACAGGACCTGAGGAACTTATGCCTTATGTTGTAGAGTTTGTCAGAACTTTTAATATGATTGATCTTCCACTGCTTCTTTATAGCAATTCTGTTGAAAACATTGGAGGTAGCACTGTGCTGTAAACTGCTTTCTGTACCAGAAGTATGTCATGTTCCACTGATGCGTATGGGACAGGCATTTTGCAATTTATAATGTCTGGGAAATAAAACTTGTGAATTTACATTTTATTTCTGTAAATTATCAACAGCAGTGTTAAAATATACTATGTGTGTGGTTTATTTACATGCATGTAACCTTTTTTTTTTCCAAAAGCATGTGTTGACCATTACATAAGCCAATTTCCTCACCACCTAGAGGGTGATGTGTGAGAGGACAGCACCTTTCTCTAACTGCTTCATAAAGTTTCTAAAGAAAGTTCTCTGAAAAAATAGTAACATGAGCACGAAATCTACAATATTTGCTTTAAATATTCACTTGAATGTGACTTATGGCAAACAAAAGCGCACACAGTACCTGTTCACTAAAACATAACTGCTCCCAAACGAAAATGTCCATTCCGCTCGTACTAACTCTGTAAAAAGAACGTCTATTATATTTAAAATTCATTACGGCATTATGACACCATGCAGAGTGGTATATTGCCATGGTAACACTTGTTGATTATTTTTAAATCTGGGTGTCGCGCCGCTGCTCGCCGCTTAGTGTCGCTGGCTGTCGTTTAACATGAATAACTGCGTCGCTGCCGTTGTGAACGAAGGGTCCACAATTGCGCGTTCAAGCAAGGCCATGTCCCATTTCTCATGTTGCCGCTCATGTGTTCCTATAGAGCTTTTGTGCAAAACTGTAGTTTATTAATGCTTAGTCATTTTATATAAACAAAGGCACTCATTTTCTCAACACAGAACAGCATGAAATATTTCAACACTGCTGTTAGATTTTTTTTTTACTTTTTTACTATTGTTTTAGTGTATTTCTACTTATTCAGTGTATGTAATATATATATATATATATATATATATATATATATATATATATATATATTTATTTTCTAAGATTATATTTGGTGAATGGAGGAACAGCAAAGTAAGAATTTCATTGCACAGTGTAACTAATCCGTTTCTGCTGTGCATATGACAATAAAACTCTTGAATCTTGAACTCCAGTTATAGGACTTCCTAGTGCATCATGAACGTTAATGACGTCAGGGAGAACGGCTTCACTCAGTCAATGAGCTGATCAGCTCGCCAAACCCATTTGCTGTAGAAAAACAGATATACATTGGCAAGTTTTCTTTGATTTTTAATGGAATTCTACTTTCCAACATTAAAGAAAGGTCTTACACACAAATGATTAGAAACATGTTTAGCTTTTCATTTCAACCGTTCAGCTCCATTCACTGAGGACTTGCTCACGGGTGCCCTCTGGCGTTTTGCAGGCAGATTTTTTAAACAATGTAACATATAGGAAGTGGCTGCCACCCCCTAAACTGGCTCTGCTACTTGTTAGCAAAAAACTTGCTCCAGATGACCAACTTACTTGTAAAATCTGGGTTTTTAAACTAACTTTTAACCCAAAATCACTACTGATAAACTTTTAAACGTTTAAAGTAACTGGGCAGTGGAAATAAATATGTCGCAGCTCCAACAGCTCTGAGTTATGGCTAATCCAAAATGCAAGTTCTAGCACACAAACCTTCTCGATTAGTTGAACTGGTGCAAAAGCCTTCTGCAAAATTAATATAGCATAGACAGCAGAAACACAGAATTTATTTTCAACAGTATCCAGTTCCAGTCCATGAGTATAAATGAGCAAAACAAGCAATCAAAAATAACACAATCAGTACATTAGAAAAACAAATAAAGCACAGCGTAAAGTACAAATTCAGCAGAGTACAAAAATATACATAATTGACTAATACAAAAATAAAAGGTCCCGTGTACTGACTAAATTAAGACATTTTCCACTTTGTATAACAAAGCTCTACAAAGTGTGAGGAATGGTGCATCTGTAAAATTCAGTAAGTTAACAGCTGTGCCCAACAGCTAGTGTTTCTCCTTCATTTTTTTCCTCTGAGCTCTAGACACCTGCCCAGTCAGCTTGCAAATGAGCATTTGAATAGTTAGATCTCACAGTGAAACATTTTACAACAGTTCCTCATGTCACTGATGGTGATGTTTTCTGGTTTTCCATGTGGGCCTTTCATCATTTCAATTCATCAAGCCTTGGTCATTCATTCTGTGATCTGGCATGCCTTTTTCTTTCAGCTCTGTTGAAAAATAAAAACAATTAATTTAATCATTTTATTTTTATGTCCTGCGTGAGTTTCCTCCCACAGTCCAAAACAGCTTTTTTTCATCAAGCATATAGCTGGTTTCAGCATCGCTCCAAGTGTTTTTTTTTTCGCTGTCTCATGGGTGCTGTGTTAAGCGCTGTTTGTTTATTTCCAGTACTGCAGTCCGTTTTTGCACATGTGCAGACCGAGAAATCCGAAAGAGTGACTGATTTTGATTACTGAGCTAAAATCCAATTCTCAGATTTATTAATCGGATTTCTAGACTCTACTTAGATCCAAGAATTCGGAGTATGCTGTTTACATGCTGTTTACATGACTGTTAATCAGATAACTGCAAAAATCCAATTATGACCGGATTATTAAATGCATGTAAATACACTTGATCTTAAATTACTGAAGCGAGGAATGGAAGCCTGGTCAAGCTGGTGGGCTCTTTAAGGAGTTAAACAGACAATTTCTTGCTAAAAATGAGCGTTAGGGTACAACAAATTGTACTTTTGGTCACTTACTTCAGTTCCTCCTTCAGTCTGTCGAGTTTGTCTTGCAGCCTGTTATTTTTCACCTCTAAGGGAGAACCAGGCACAAACCACCCTGCTATGAACTTACACATCACCACCACATGCTGCTCAGAGAGAAGCAGAATACATGTGTTTTGGGAGACAGAGAGAGAACAGAATCAGTTTTGAAGGAAAAAAAATCACCTTACCACGAAACTGCTGTGAATTTTATGTGACTCCTTTATGTTAAGATTATGATTAGCTCTGAATGAGCATTCATACCTCAAAAAGAACTACAAAGGCAAATCGGATTGCCTGAATGACCCAAAACTGATTGGTCAAAGTGTAGTCCTCATTACTCCTATAGTCTCTATAGCTACAGAAGAACAAAGAAAAACTCAGTGAATTTTAATGTACCTGCTTATAAATTTGTAGTCACATGTCTATAAATGTTTTGCCCAGTACCTGCAGGATGTCACCTTTATGCCATTGTGAGTAATCAGCTGTTCAGGCAAAAAGTCACTTTTGATGTTTTCATCACTGATGTTAGCAGTGGACAGCGTGTTTTGGATATAACCTGACATACAACTGTGTGAGAGATGGAGATGAAAAGACAATGGGATTATGAAGGTGTGACACTTATAACTGCACTGTATGTAGCATAAAAAGCAGTTATTATGCTTACTCAGTTTCAGTAGCACTGGAGTTGGCACAGGGTCCGTAGCGATAACGATATACCAATCGAGGGATAAAATCAGAGGATATCCCAATAACCAGCCCATTAGCAATGACTGCTAACACACCAATTGTTTCCAGCACATCAGTCCAAATACCTAAAATGTAATATGCACATACATAATGTATCTAACCATCAGAGTTTAAATATATGCCTATTTGTTCACAAAAACATTCAAACCAGTGACTGTTTCGACTCATGTTCCTTCATGGTTCTGTGTACATCATAAACAATGGCCATGAATCTCTGCTCTCACCAATGTCGTTAGTCTTCTTGGGAATGAGCCTTCGTTCCAGGCTGACCATCTTTATGGCGTCTAGCCTGATCTCGATGATGTTGTTGAGTAGAGCTAAAAGAGGAGCCAGAGGAAATGCAGCCACGAAGATGGTGGTAAAACTGAACTGGAGGACTAGGCAGAGCAGAAACGAGTGGAGAGAGAAAGGTAAGATTTTGATGAACAAATGCTGAAAACTGAATGAAAGTTATGTGCTTCTTTAAAAATGGAGCTATACCCATCTCTAGGAACTCGTTGAAGAGGCTGAACTGGTCCACACTATCAAGATCAAAGTTCCTGAGCAGGTCCTTCACTTTACAGTTGTCACAAAGTTCAGCACCTGCTGTGCTCTCCATACAGTCCTTCTTCGAACACTGCCGAACCTTTTGCCTCAACTTTCGACTCTGTAGCCTCTTCCGCCAACGTGTGAACCAACTGTGGAAAGAATGGGTACATTAATAAGGACTATAAACAGAAAACAATGTGAAATTTCAAGTAACAGATTAAGACCCCTGACTTACGGGCCAGAGAACTCAAACACGTTGTTGATGGTCTGTTTGAGAAACAGAATGACGGCCATCTGAATGAACAGGTCTGTCAGACATCCACTGGGGTGGCACTGAACAGAAGAGAGAAAATAGTTATACTGAGTGATTTTAGCACCACCTAGTGATAACCTAGTGATCACATTTTGTTCAGATTCCATTTTCAAAGGCATGTAATAAGGATGTTTGATTAAATAATTACTGATAATCAGTATGAGACAAAATATAATAGAGTTACCTCCTCTAATCTCCATTTGCCAGCTAATTTCACATATCCACCTGGATGTCCGTTTATCCTGGAAAAAAACAAAAACATATTTGTATGTGAAATGTTCACTGGGCCTTAATGGTAACATTGTGCTCTACCAGCATGGCAAGCATTTGCAATCAGCACAAAGTTATTCCATTCTGTCAAGACTCTTTACCTGCCAAGGAAGAATGCTGTATATATAAGAGAGGAGAAGAGAGTGAAGAACTGGAAAACAAACATCTTCACTGTGAAGCTCCTTTCAATGGCTGCATGGGAGCGTGCTTTCTCTACAAGAGAGAAAGTGATGAATGAACTAATGATCTCAGTAGTAGCAGTAGTAGTAGTAATGATCTTTTCCACTAACCTAGTTCACAAAGCTTCATGGCCACTTTGTGATTGACCTGCACATTATGAAAAATGAGAAGCTGAGTTATGTATTTTTTTTACTGCAGTAGAGTTATAAAATTACTCCATCTGTATAACACATTCCATTAAAAAAGAAACACAACATGATATTTATTGTAAATGCAGAATAAATTTGTTAAGAGATCTAAAATATTTGAGTAAAATATTTGCAGGAAACCAAAGAGAAAATGTTTTTACCTTAGTCATGATAATTATTGTGAGGTAATGCAGCACAGCTCCCAGCATGAAAGCCACTGTATTGGAGTTTTCACTAATGAATGACCAGCTACTGAATTTAGCCAGCTGTTCACTGGCTATTACCCTGAACACCACCAGGGCATGCGCCAGCCCAATGATTAGCAGCAACTGACCATGCACACAGAAACAAAAAAAGACTTCAGTGCCAGGTGAAGAAAACGCTCAATCTTTGTATGTAACGTTGGAATAAACTGAGTTGCGTTGGGCTTCATGTGTGTAAAATTAGCCGTTTGCAAAATTCTGAAAAAATCCTCTCTTCCTTAATTATTGTTGCTACATCCATCAACCTTTCAGCTCAGCCTACCTGGTAGCATCCACAACACTTGTGCTAACAGACTAAAAAGTTCAGTTGCACAAAAGACAATGTAAGAGCACACAGAAGAGTACATTTCATACCTTTTTCATTAAAAAATGTCCAGTACAGACATCCATTTTGAAATATGTATGTAGGCCAATTTAAAATAAACAAAAAACTGTTTCTGAAAACTCTGTTTACAGTAATCAAAACAAGTAGGCCAAACCGAACCAGGAAAACTCATCATTTTTACACCAGGTATTTCAGGAAACATTACAGAAATAATACAGGATGATGTGTACAAGTGCATTATTAGTCATCTTTACACACAATGTAATCACAAATGTGAGCACGGTGCAGTCCAGTTTAATCTGACTGATTTATCAAGATAAATCTCAGCAGCCATGTTCTGAAATCTGATCTTAACATTTTGCTGTAATGTTATTTATTGTTATATAGTTTATCTTGTCTGTTATTATTTTTTTGTGTTATTAGTTATGTGATCTTCCACATAGTTCAATCTGAAACTTTTTGAGCTTCAGGGATGAAACAAAAAAACACCATTGCCCTCCAGATCAGTGGTGCCCACATTTTTGTCTTTTTTAGACATGCTTGTGTTTGTTGTGGGCCGAGGGTCAAGAAGACAAAACAATATACAAATAAATAATGTAAGTAATAAATAATGTAAGTTTCAAATTGTTTTTTAAAAATGTAATTTACACTGCTTTCTTTACTAAAATACTTAATACAGTTTAAAAAAAATAATTGAATCAGTTATATAAAAATATGTTTTTCTGTCACTGGGTGAGGAGGGTGAGGTCTGGGTAACTTTCATGCCAAATCAAATGTCCTCACAGGCCCATGTCAGCCTGTGGACCACACTTTGGATAGCCCTGGGTAGTGGGTGTTTGGTATTATACGTTCCAGAGTAACATCTTTTTGCTGTTTCTTAGTCTTATAATTCTGACTAATTTACTGGCAATGCTGATCTCACTGCAGTTTTGTTGAAGTTTTTTCTTTGCTTGATAGAATAGACAGAAAGATTTGTGGTTCACTAAGAGGTTGTGTCATTATTATGCGTTGACTATTTTGCAAACAATCAATTCAGTGTGAGATCCTCACCATGAGTGTCACTAACACCATTACTAGTGTACTGCGCAGGTATGAGTGACTGTGCTTCTTTGATTCACAGTTAGGATTATTCACAATCTCCAGAATCAGCTCCTCCTGCACACACATACACACACACACACAAACACACACACACACAAAGAACCTATCAGAACATTACCTATTAAATTCCTTATTCAGTCTAATAGTTGGTTCCTGATCTGTTTGTTTATGTTTCAGATAATAATCTGGGGACTTAATTTTATGGCTTATTCTTTAGTAACTACAACAAATTAAAGGGTAACGTCTGCTGAAATTAATATCCAACTGATCTAGTTATAAGAGAGAGGAATTCAAGTGCGTGCCCATAAACATACAGTCTTTTGCATTTTAAATGGTACCTTATTTACTAGTAGCATTGTACATGTGAAAAAAGAAAGAAGTTATCTTATATCTTATTCCTACCTCTTCTTCACACCAGTCAAAAACCTTCCACTCAGAGACGTATGATGCTCTGTGGCGTTTCCAGAACTCTAGAAATACAGTAGCTGGAAAAGAAGGACAATGATGGTGTCAGTGCTGAACTTGGAAACAGATGTGCTATAGAAGGTTTTAGGGTAAAAAAGCAGAACTTACCCCAGACTGCCATGAACATGGCAAATGCAACTGTTCCCTCATTATCAAACAGTATGCTCACCTGCACAGGGTGAAACAAGACAAACTGTGACACCTGAGCCCTCAGCACTGAGCTTCTGGACATTGCATGCTAGTTGAAACTCTGAGAGTCACTTGTGTAAAGAAATCTTTCCTGATCCTACTCATAGAGTCTTGCAATGCTATAAGCCTCCTAACTCTCTTGGATGTGGATCATGACTTGAATCATGTTAGACAAAGAAATTGCTATTTGCAAATAAATGGCAATAAATGGTATTGGAGTTACAACTAATTAATTAAAATAACAGCCCTATTTTTGGCTCGCATGCTTAGTCATGCATGGGTAGTTACCAGTTTTGGGGATTTTCATAATTTTAAATTCACTGAAATGGATAGCATAGTGGATAACATGACCATTCTAACACATACAAAGCCCAGGAATAATTCACATACATATTTACCTAAAAATAACATAAATGTTTACAATCAGTGTCATGTCAGATTTAGCTGTGGCCTGGCTATGTAACACAAAAAATTTAAAACTGGGATGAATTGTTTGAACTTGCTTTACACTCCCTAACCTTCATTTATGGATTACAGTGTGAACTTGTTTTATAACTAAAAAAATAAATAAATGATCAGTTATTAGTGTCAGTATTGGACACAACAACCAGGTGTTAATTATCAGTTATCTTTATTGGCACAGAAAGTCCATATTGGTGCATCCTTACAGTAAAAGGTTCAGTTCATATGTCTGTCAGAAGCAGAAGTAAAATGAAAGTGGTAATTTGGAGGAGAATACCTTTGCATATGTGCAGGTATCAGAGAGCTGCCAGACCTTGCATTTCTCATCACACAGTGGGCACATGATAGTGTCTGATTGACACACTTCTTGTCTGTAAACCACACACACACACACACACGCAAGAAGAAACACCTATGAAATTACTAGATTAAACAGAATCCAGAAGAGAAATTCTTGGCACAGTACAGTAACTTTTCCAGACCAGTGAGATGTTATTTCTCAGTGGGGAAAGGCCATCAGACAAAGCTTTTGTATCAGATGGGTTTGTAATTTTTTCAGGGTCATAGTATAACTTAAAATCCTGAGACAGTGTGGTTGGGCTGTCCTGCTCAGACTATTTTTAAAGTATGAATGTATCACTGTTATTAATAGTTCTCTTTTGCCCCTGATGGCCTGTGATAAAACTGGAAATCTATGTAACTTCAGTGAACATTAAGTTGAGTAAGTGAAAGTTGGGTACGTCTTTTCTGGTAAGGTCTAATAAATAGTGCATGGTCTAGCTATGTCTTTATTTCTTTTTTTTTTACAAACTGCTTTAACAGAATGTCTCCTCAAAACATCTGGCATTCTCATCTTGGTGAAATGGATTTTCTGCAGGACAGACACGACTCTTGCTCAAAAGAGGCACCTAAACTGAAATATGCTAAATTAATGAGGAAAAACAAAAGCTAAATCCAATGTACCTCGACTGCTGAGAGCGGTAAATGTAAACATTTTAAAGGCTTATTCTAACAGACATAATCTGTCATAAAGGCTGCTTTTGTCAACTTTCATGTCAATTTGACATAACAACTATGCCAGGTGACACTGAGTTTTTCCTGACTTTGGACTGTGTCATGACACTTTTTGGGTAAAATGACTCAGCATGTTATAACTGACTTTGTGCAGTGCACCTCACAGTGACATAAATTGATGACATAGCTGAAATCTTCTAAATGGTAAAATGAAACTCACTTTACCTAAGAGCCAAAGAAGATGATCTCTTTAGTCTAAATAGCCTGACTTGGCAAGCTATATCATATTATCAGCATTATGTCACAAAGTCTATGTCATTTCACTCCCGAAAGTGTCACAACACATCCTAATGTCAGAAAAAAATCTGTCACTCAAAGGCAAATGTAACTTTAATGACAAATTAAACAAAAAATATTATTTTGGAGTAAGTGTTTATAAATGTGTATGACGTTTTATGTCAGCTGTCATGAAGAGCTTATGTCTGTGTCATGTAGTCTTATGAACATTGGCAAACAGTAAAGGCTTACCCTGAGACCTGTAAGATCTAATGTGGTGGAGGGAATAAATGCTTGAACTAGACTATCTTGAATGGAACCTGTCCTGTTAAAACATTTGCTGCTAAACAACAAAATCAACCCCTGAGAAGAACTGATACTTTTCTTAATTAGATTTCTTAGAAAAAGCTTATGAGTATAACATTCTCTTTGTAGTTAGTAGTACTTTTTCCATTTGTGTGATTTGACTCATCACCAACATTTACATGATGCCACAGCTGTTATTCCCAACTACGAAGAGCAATCGAATTATTTAAGCAATAGAACACGAGAGGGAGTGTGTTATTGCGAATAACAGCATGTTATTTAGGATAACCTGCACCCTCGAGTGCTTTATTGCTTTTTAATAAAACATAAGCTCCGAACTTACAATCTAATTGGTTGAGAAACGTTCTAACCGTGCTGATACTTGTGATAACAGCACAGCTTTTTTACACCAAAAAAACTGTATCACACCGCTGATGCGTTGCTGGGAAACGACAAGCTTTATGCACAGTTGTTTTGTATTTGTGCTTATACAAAACGAGACATTAATAAAATGGAAAATTTCAAGATAACATTTGACCCACAGCCTGTTTGAGCAGACTCTGAATAAGAGTGCGACTGCAGATGCACATCAAATTCTCAATCTGCAATTACCATGAAAACTCTTAGGTCGACTACAGTGATGGCAGAACAACTGAACATGCTGGAATTGGCTAGAAACAAACAGAGTACAATTCGGCAAACAAGATGGGCCACAGCGTGCTTTATAGACTGGCTGTTACAAAATGACATTCAGGTTAATTTGGCAACAATTGAAAAGGCTGAGCTGAACTTGATATTTGTACAGTTCTACAGCTCTATCCACACCACAAAAGGTGAGCTTCATAGTATCAGCAGTTATCTTGGACTGCACGCAGGGCTCAACAGGCCAGGGCAGGGGTCGCAACTTAAATGTTAAGAAGAGCCATTTTGTTCTTTTAACAAAAATCAAACCACACCGGCAGCCAAAATATTTTATGTCCATTTTATCATCTTGACTATAAATATATCTCAGTGCTAATGTCCTAGTGTAGGCTAAAAATATAAGATAAACAAAAACGCAGACTTACTTTGCTCTGCTTTAGGCTTTAGCCCAGCTTTAGCTGCTTTTCTTGCATCACCAGCAGGAAACTTTTCTACAAAAGTGGAATAGTTTCTTGTAAAATGTCTCTCAATGTTCAACTTTTTACGAGGTTAAAGTCAGCTTTTTTTCGCCAGCTTCTTGTAACTGCTGCACCATTTAAGGTGGAATATGAAAATTCGAACGAGAAACTGACAGCAGCTTCGCAACTTTTTTTTAGTGTTTGACAGTTTCTCATTGCAGATTAAACGGAAACCAGCTGGAGTGATTATAAATACAAATAAGTCCATTTGTCTCCAAATTATCGATGTTCATCTTAAATCTTTCTCTTTGCCATTTCGTTAGCTACTAGCCAGGCGAGACTGTTGTCTGCATTGCTGTGTGACCAGCAGTCTGTGCACCAACTTTCAGGGTTAAAGAGTGAATTAGCAGTTATGCATTAACTCCAGTGTTTAAGACTATTTGTTGTTAAAACTGTGTTTGAACGATCAGCAGAGCTTTATTTTACTGAACAGGAACATCATCTTATTTTTACCTGAAATCTAGTTCTGCTGTGGAGCCGCAACAGGGTAGTAAAAGAGTTGCGTTGCGGACCCCTGGGATAGGGAATTATTATTGTTGCATAGCAACAACTCATTTGTTGTGAAACTACTTTTTGGCAGAAGGTATTGTGAGTATTAAAACATATTCAGTATGAAATTCAGGGATTCTCTGATTTATTTTGTTTCTTTATTTTGTAAAAACTGTTGTATAACAGTTTATAAAAAAAGTAGTTCCGGTCCTAAAATCTGATTGGCTGAGCCGTGTTTGAAGCCGTTGTAAAATCCATGATATATGCACACCTATGACAGCCTCACAACAACTGAATTGTATATTACTACGCATAATCTTTGACTCTAGTGCTTCTTGCATGGACCACTGAGTATATTGATGAAGTAAGAACCCATTTTTTTTGTTTAAACTGAGGGGCCGGCAACTTATTTTCTTACTAGCACTAGAACTAGGCTAGTCAGCTAGCTAACAGGCTAAAAGACAGCAATAATGCTTAACAACTCCAACATTAACATCACAGGCTTGAATTAAAGTACTTACAGTATGATTAACTTTAAAACAGCAGTATAAAATGGATTACATGCTTGAAATGTTTGTGTTTCGGTCAGAAGTAGCATCAAACCCAGGCTGAATCCCAAACGGCTCCATATTCCCTAAATGTGCTAGCTATGAAAATTTAGAAATTCTGGTCTCTACAGCCAAATAGTGCATCATTTATCGAGTACGGATGTGGCTGAGTCCCATATTGCTAATTTGTAGCTATTTTTTGCACTGTTGGGGTGCAGGATCCAGTATTTAAATTCCTACGTAGAGCTCTATGTACGGAGCAGGGAGCCGTTTGAGATTCAGCCCCAGCGTGTGAAGAGGGGCGCCGCTGGATTGGTGCTAAATAAGACTTGTGGTGGTAATTTGGTCATCAAACAGTACTTATAAAGCTAAAGTTTTGCATTAAACAGTGTCATATGTTCATTCTTATACAACAAAAGTTAAAAAATCATGAAATGACTGAACGTTCTTCTAATTCAGCGGTCCATGATTGCTATACCATGCTCTAAATGAACTACATTTGTTGGTGGAATGCTTATTTATATCGATTATTTTTAATAATAACTTACATAATTTCATCATTTATTTTTTCATATTTCATGTTGGCTTTGTGTCGTGCCTAAGTACATACATGATTACCCCACAGTAACACACAGCCTCTCATGGCTTATGATGTTAATAAGTTATGTTGTGTATGGGCAGCCCTTGTCTTGTGTCAGATGAACAGCCAAAAATTTCTGTTCTGTTATCAAGCAAGGCCTTCAGTGCTGACAGTGACTGTGTCTGAAACATAATAAACACTGCCCACTTATACAGTATTCTGAGGCAGAAAGGCAGCCAGTCATGTCCGAATCTAATGTTTGTTCAAAAGCTCCCTGCTGAGGTTCCTCTGTTGGGCTGTTTTTTGAGGCAGCGTAGAAATATCTCTGGCATTTAAACCTCTGCTCATCTTTGGAATTTTTAAACTCTTTAAGGTCACATCACAATCCCAGAAGTTCAGAGGTGTGAGCTGTTCCAAAAGAGGCAGATTGAGAAGGTTCTGGTTGCATTATATGTGGCTGATAACTTCTTATCTAGAACTGCTGGGGCACCTTTGTACCAGAGGTCCAGTCAGCTCGACTTACTACTGCTAGATACTCAAAACCTTACTATTACTGGACTCTAAAGACAACCTGGTATAGTAATATTTGCTGTATAATCTATTCTTCTTAGTATTCTTAGTATGCATCCAAACTGAAGAATGAAGCACAGCCTACAAAAAGGAGAATTATAATAGATACAAGGGACTGAAGCTAAAAAGAAAGGAGATGACTTAAGCTTGTGTTAGTGAATTAATCACTCTGAAGCTTCTGTATGCAGCTCAAGCTGAGTCATGTGATGACAAGTCATGAAGATTGTTTTCTCCCAGAGGTGTGTCTAGGAATGTTTTGGTGAATGGCAAATTGTGCTGAAAGATTGCAGTTACTAAGATGTTAGTCACAGCTGTCATGACTGATGTCTGGGCTAGGTACAGTTTCTGGTTTCCTTCCTCAGTGTTCTGTAATGAAATCATGAGATTTCACTGTTTCATACTGTACAAGTCGTAGAAAAGCGGGGCACCATCCTTATACAGTATACTACCTCTCACTCCTTTACACACACACACATGCACATCATGTTCAATGTACATACATACAGTAAATAATTTAGCTACATGTAAAGGGGAATTCCACATTTTTTACAGTTTCAGTATTATTCAGTCATGGTGAACGCTACATCACAGAAGGATATACTACGAAATGTTTGCAAATTCGATGCCATATTTGTTTTTGATAAGTTTTTGTTAAAATACATTCAGTGCGGTGCACTGCAAGGCAAAACAAACATATGTCTTAGAGATGTACTAATATTTTACCATTATCAACATCACATATAAAAACTCAAACTCAGAACACGTGTGGGCTCACTGGTCATTTCGGATAAAATGAATTCATGTTGCGGACATTTCAACCTCTTGTTCCTATCACCAACGCTGTAAAGAAATCCAAGTAGGTAAGCTAATCTACAATACATAATGTCACATCAAAACACTCTGAATGGCTTTTATCTTAAAGAACTTGGAACAACATGGTTTAGGACTTGTGAACTCATGGTTTAGGACTTTCTGTGAGCAGTGAAAATTAACAAAATGTCACTGTGTAGCTAAACACAGCAGGCAGTCACTTTAGATAATGGGGTCTGCATTCACAAACCACCCCAGTAGGAGCAGCAGTGCAGATATACAGTCAGTATTTTTGACAATGACTGTCTTACAAATAAAGGAATCTGATCCAAAAGAGAAGTTGAGAGACGTTCTAAAGAAGCAAAAGTTGGACTTCAGGACTACAACTGGGGATAAAGAGAAAATTGGCTACAATTTATTTTTACAATTTATAAGCTATTGCTTTAATGATTAAATTATGTGGAAATTTTTAAACATTTATGCAATTCCTCTATAATATCAAGAACTTGGATCAGTTCTCCCAAATTAACCTCATCTGTGTCAAAACAAAACTGACTTCAAAATCCTCTTCCCTCTTTCCTATAATTCCCATTTTTACCAAATAACTCAGAGTTACAGACAGGGCATAGCCTTCTTAGTGCTACTTTCAATCATGTGATTATATAAGAACAACTGAACTTTGTGTTTAAAATCACATTTAGTATTAATCCTCTCTTCTGTACTTCAGGTCTGTATATTGAAGTAAGAGCACACAACCAAATCAATAATAAAATATGTGTCGAAATATTGTGCATCACTCTCTTTGCTACAGAGTGTTAAAATCTGACTACATCATGTCCGATCAGTACCTGATAACTCACATTAGAGGGCTGGTTTTGAAGAAGGCCAGGCCATAAAGGAAGACTATGACCCCTAGCACAGCAGCAGGGATCAGCAGAAATGTGTACCATCCCAACCAAAGGAAATACAGAGCCACTTTCTCCCCAAAGTAGTCCCTGGGGAAAACATACACAGAAATGGAATATCAGCCTGTATTCAGCACGGTGTCTGCATGTTATTGTTTGTGTTGAGTGTGATTAATATACAATACCTTACATCTGTTATTGGTTGCCCATTTAAACAGGCTGTCCATCGAGCCCAACTGGTGCTTAGTTCTTTCTGTTCCTGTTTCTAAAATTAAGAAATAAAATGGAGGAGACATGACATGACCATCATGTGTCTTGTGTGAAACCGAGTTAGCATTTTTATCCAAATTTATCCATGAATAAGTCACAGTTTTGCAATGATGTTATTGTAGTTCAGACAGTTCTTAGTCACCTTTGTCTGTAATTACATTCTCAGAATGCATCCTGAATTGTGTATTATTGGCTGTGCCTGAAACTGAAGGCAGCTGTCTTGATGCCTTGCTGCCTGCACTGTCTCATGAGTCAGTGTCTTAGAAGGCAGTGTCGTCCATTGTGTCAGTGCTGGTGTTTTCTGCCTTTTTATTTCTAACTGCCAGTGTGTGGACACAAAGGTTTATGGGATATGTAAGGCAGCAAAGGATCTATCTACGCTGCTTACAAAAACGGCCAAGCAGAGGAACCTTAGCAGGCAGCATTTATGCGAATATTCGGTTCAGACATAACTGGGTGTCTTGCTGACTCAGAATTCTGTATGAATAGACAGTGTTTATGGTTTCTGATGCAGCCAAATTGTTATGAATTCCTCAGGTGAGGTTTCAGTAGTAATTAATGTAACTATATTGTATTTTTGCAAACAATGTAATGAATGCATTCTTTTCAGTTCTATTTTTAGATGAGAATTATGTGTTAATGCAATGACGCAATGCTCAGGGAAATTCCAAGGAAAACAAAAAGACAATTAACGACACCGTTTGCTTTGGCGTATAACATGTGAGGCCTTCAAAGAATGCTGCTCACGTCAGACTGCGCACAGCAAGTTCAAATGAATTACTCAGACAATACGCACACATCCTTCTGTTTCACCATTCCGGCGATAAAAACAGTTCTATCAGAGAGCGAAGGATCATTTTCAATGTAGTCTCCTTGTTTTCTTTTAAATGCTCCTCTTTTTGAAATTTAAAGACATAAGAATGGATAGCAAGAGGAAAGAACAATGATTTTATGATTTGATTTTACAATGGCAACAGAATATTTTATACCTCATGCAGACAAAATTGAGCCTCAAATATGTTTCTCTGAATGAGGTCTGACAGGTACTCTGGTTCACCTGAGAGTAAGGAAGAGGTGTATTAGTGTACTGAATTGCTACTACTACTATTACTATTATACTGTAATGGCAGTAATTAATCTGTATTAGGTGTATAGAGGTAGCACTGAGGCGATGTTGAGCTGATGCTGCCAGTACTCACCATTACTTTCTATGCTGGTGTGGTCCACAATGAAGTCAACTATGCGTATTCTGCAGTAGACATTAAACTATTAATGAACTGGATTTGTAACACAGACAAATGAGGATCTTCTCTAAAAGAGCTTACCTCATGTATATTAGATGAGCTTTAGATGTGAATCATAATGAAATAAATCTTAACAAAACCCTTTTGATAAGACCTAAGCATATGTGCATGTGCATGTGTGTTATTACCTGGTGGACTGTGGGATAGTACCCTGTTGCTCACAGCTCCAATTACAGGCATCAGACACTTTGAGCAGGTATCTGTATGTCTCAAAGATCTCTTTCGGGGCTGTGATTCCATAAAAAACTTTATCTTCATCAATAATTTTCTGCCACATAAATAAGATCACAAAATCAATAAAAGAAATCTTCATGTTTCTAAACATATGTATAAATTAAAATACTCTGTATAAAGGTTTGCACTCTAAAATTCTTTGAAAAATTGACATTTTAAGTGAGCCTTCTGCATAGCGTTTTAAAATTTCTCAATTTTATTTAGTCAAAACTCAAAGCTTCCTAATGTACAGTTTTTACTGCTGCTTCTGAGCTAGGTCTATAAAATACAGCTTTAAGTTGAGCTTACTCAAAACAGTGAATGCAGTTACCTACAAATTAAAACTGTTTAAATATTTTGCCAGATTTTTACCCCCTGCAACTGGTCATTGCCAATTCCACCCACAGGCTATGACTCTCCCAGTCAAACAGTATGGGATGTGAGGGCTTCCTACTCTTAGACTAGTGACCATGGAGGGCTGGGGCATCACAAGGATGTGGCACCCCCCAGCCCCACACCCTTTTCAGAATAAGCGCAATTTAAACTGTTGACCTAAAAATACTAAAACTGTCATTTTCTTTTAACAAACTTTAACTAAATAAAGTTGAGAGAATGAAAAAATCAATACAAAAGGTTGACTTAAAATTTCAAGCTGACTTGAATTTTAATTCTTTACAATGTATCTAGTAACTATCAAGTAGTCTTTGATTTATATAGCACTTTTATAACAACTAGAGTTGAATCAAAATGCTTAACTACCTTAAAACAACATATCACAAACATTTTTATGTAGCCAGTGGCCATTCACATTGTCAAACCTTCAACCATAACACATCAAAATCACTCAATACAGCATGCTTATTAAGTCATGCTACACTGTAGTGGTGCTAGACCCCCAAAAGTGATGAAAAAAAATGTAGTACAGTGACAAAATACAACTCAGCCACTTACTGACTAGTACTTTTCAGCATGTATTAATGAACAGTGTTTGTTTTGACTCTGCGCTTGATAGGTTTCAGCCTCAGATAACAAACTTAGTTGGCTGACATCTAACATCTCTGAAGAACATCAGTCTTAGTTTAGCATGGCAGCAGTAAGAAATACTCAAACTGACATTTAGTAAATACATATAGTATAGTAACATAAACTATGACCAAGTGCATTAAAAATTATTTTTACTGGATTTAGTGAGCTGCAGCTCCTCTCACTGAACACAAACTCATAGGGAAATGACCCCCTTCTCAGCTGAAACTGAGATTTTATTGGTTCTGCTGATGAGTTTGATTGTCTGTTTGCTTGGGCCCATAGGTCAGCAGGCTGTGCAGTTTAGGGCGAGATGAGTTTTTTTTTTCGATGGAAGCTTCCTGACGTATTTTGAAAAGTGAAGTGTCAAATGCCCAGTCGGCCGAGTGGGTCCGTCGGCCTTAACGCTAATTTTGCAAAACATTCTTTAATCTTAATGTAAGAAAATCACCTGTATATTCAAATGCTTGTCCTTCAGGGCATTGATGAAGTCCCTCTGCTTTCTGAAGCTTTCCTGGTCAACATCATCTGTTCTCTGGGCCACCAGAACATAGTCAAAGGACTGTGGGGAGTGCTAAGGGAAAACCCAGAATTTAAAGCATGTTAAATTCAGGACTTACATACAAGGCCAAAAATAAATGCTGTGATGCCAGAACAATCACCCAAACTGCATTCCTTCACATTCAGGTTGAGAGTAATCTGCACTTAAAATCTCACTGATTTTTCTGCCACTTAAACACTGTATACAAAAGATTATCTACCATTTTTTATTCAAACAGTAAAAAAAAAGTATGCAAAACAATATGTGCGTTCTCGCTGCTCACATGCTGCACTCATGTCCAAAGTAAACAATGCAAATCTTATTGTGCAATGATCTGTTGATGGCTGACATACAGTTACTCACTCGAGAATATCATCCCATGAAGAAACTACATTCTCAAAATCTGAATCTGTAACCACATATTGTTTTGTACTTCCTTTGTTAAGTACAGTTCAAAACTATTATACTACTCAATGTAAAACTAACTGCAGAAAATAATTAATAACAGCATCATGAAGATGAATCGTAAATATGGACACAGAAAGTGTAAGCTATTCAAACAATATCTGTCTTTACAATCACATTTTTAGTGCTTATTTCATTTTGTGAACTAGGATCTTGGCTGCTTTGAGTGTCATAATGTGTGGAATGGAATCTTACCACAGGCAGCATAGAAAAGCTCCCACTGCCATAATCCTTTTTCACGACTCCAATAACTTCCAACAGTTCAATGCTTCCCTGCAACAGCATCACAAGCAGCACTGCAAAATCACTTTATCACACCATCATACTACCAAAGATAAACATAAATGATGGAGTGTCAAAACAAGACACAACAAAAGTAAATGTTGACTTCTACACACTGTGCAGATACATTTTTCATTCATCAAGGTACAAACAATGTAAATGTACCCTCAAAGGTATAACAGTGGTTTTAAGGTCCAATTGTGAACCTTGAATAAGTTTTTCTGGGTCAAAAGTACATATTTGTATCTTTTCATAACCTAATGTTTTAAAACAGAGCAATAAAATATTAAACATGGAGGTAAGACAGGGTGTGTGGAGTCAGTGCAACTTAGAAAATATAATTTCAATGGATTATGGTACAATTATGTTCCCTGACTAAAGGTACTGAGATGTACCCTTGAGAGGTACCACCACAGTGACAGTTTCATACTTTTTTTTTGAGAGTGCAAAGTGCCATTAAAGGTGGGCAATATGATGATACTTTGTTGTTATTGTGATAAAGTACATCACAACACACTTTTCTGACCATATGGTGGATATCGTCAGTACTTAAAGAACACTGACCAACTACGTTTCATTACAAAGGTAGCAAAATTAGTCTTGTAAAGAAACGTTTAATCAAAATCACTTTACTCATAGTTTTGTTAGCCATTTTTAAATGCACATTTACGGCATTTGGCAGACGCTCTTATCCAGAGTGACTTACAGTTGAATAATTTTACACAGGTAGGCAAAGGTAGTGTTAGGAGTCTTGCCCAAGGACTCATAGAGGTATAGTGTAGGGTGCTTGCCCAGCCAGGGGATTGAACCCCAGCCTACAGCCTAGAAGGCACAAGTGTTACCCACTACACTATACCAATCAAACACAGCACAACTAACGCGTTTGTTTTGTTTCAGCTTATGAAACATCAGACAATCTTGTGGTATGTATTGTGTGTCAAAAAAAAATCTTTAAGTATTCTTGTGTTATTATTATGTTGATATTATGTTTTTTGCTATATCATCCACCCCTAAGTGCTATAGTGCTTATCCCAGTACGATGCAGCTGAGCACCACAATAACATAGTAAAACAAACAGAAATATGTTTTTTTTTGTTTGGTTTGTTTGTTTTCTTAATATTGAGAATGAGCTTTGTAGGAATGGCACTGACTAAGTCAGAATGAATTTCATAAGAATGAAAGGAATGTATACAGGACTGTATACACACTGCCGGGTATCGTGGGAAAGTGTGTATCGCAGCTATTTAGAACATTATTCCGCAACAAACCGGACCAAAAAAGTTGCAATTTTAATGTTAAAGTTTAAATCAAAACATTTACTGGTCATGTTAAGAGACAGTGACCTTAACGTCTAACATAAATCATAACTTAACTGATTCTTCCCTTTTCAGTGATTGAGTAAGGTACTGCTCTCAGTTCCACAGATTTGGTCAGAATGCCAGCGATGTTACTAAGAGATCATGTGACAAGGGTGGTTTCTACAGTAAAAAATATTTTTAGATGTGGGAGTTTACATTCTTGCATACTGGAGAGTTACTTACTAAGATCTGGCACTAGATTATGGGGAACACCTACTTATGGCCCACAATAAGCCTTATAGCCTACAATAACTTTGCAAACATTATGTCCTCCAACAGGTTTCACAGGTCTGTCTCAATGAGATGAAGTGGAGAACTGAACTCATCCAACTGAGTTCACCCTTAAAGATTCTGAATCTCATAACTCAGTTTGGACAAAATTAACTAAAACCACAACCTTTCATAGAAGCTAAAGAGATCCTGTAAGCCTTGGCTATATCAACCCTGTGCCAGTGTTCATCATGAGAAGCAACACTTTACCAGCTGGCTCAAACTACACTTAGAAGAGTTGCTGAAGCAGATTTTCATTGGCTTCTATTATAAGTGTGCTTTGAGTCAGATTCTTTCACTAAGTAAAGGGAAACTCCTCTGTTTAAAAAAATGTTCTTGCATGTGCAATGTGGACCCTTTTTAGAACTTCATTAAACAAAAAGAAAAAAGTAGACATATTATTTATTAGCTGTTGCAGTCCCCTTACGTTAAAGTTAACACTAAATGAAGAGTTTCATTCCAAAATGCTTCATATCCATTTGTAACAATTGTAGATAAAAGTATTTGAAAAGAACAACAGCTGAACTTTGATGGAAAACACATTTTAGTTCTCTAAAAATGGTATTAGTGGTATTAGTCATAACACAGCATTAATATGAACTGTATGAGAAAAGCCCACTCACAACAGCAAAAGAACATTTTTGAAAATGGTTTACTTTGCATTTTGCCACAAACCCTTCAAATGTAAAAAATGGTCCGTTTACCAGCCTAAAGCTTCAATGAATGGGATTTTCAGTGGAGAATCCAAACTTCTAAACTGTGACCTTAAATCCTCCTCTGGATGAAACAGAAACTATTTTCAGTGCTTTTAGGTTGGGGCACGGCCACTTAATTTTTCTTCCCAAATTAGACGAGCAGTTTTACACAGCCTCAGGTGAACAATCCAGGCCTCAGTTACATCGACCTTTAATGTACTAAACAGCCGGTGATTTAGGCGATAACTCATCTGAAGCAAAGTAGTTTCAGTTTAAATGCCACACAGTGAGGAAAAGCTCAGACTTCCCGTCCTAACAAAATCGCTTTTTTTGTCTTCTTTTTTCAAACACATAGTCTATCTATCTGTTTCAGGCCGCCGTCGACTTCACCTGCATCACTACGCTGCCTCCAGCACTCAGCGCCTTCCGCTGACATATTGATGACTTTTCTCAGTCGGGCTTGTTCAGGTCAACAGAGACCGCAGTAAAGCCGTGTGTGTGTATGTGTGTGTGTGTGTGTGTGTGTGTGTGTGTGTGTGTGTTGTTTTCTCACCGTTCTCTTGTGGCAAAGTTTGCGTGCCTCATTTGAGGGCACATCCAGATGTGATGTGGACATTGTAAGGTCCAGCTGAGTTACTCCATCGCCTCTGCAGCTGAGTCTTTCTTCAGTGTCCTCTGGCACAGAGTCCGGTTCTCAGCAGCACTTACCCCTTAAAAGAGTCTCTGCTTCCGCTCTGCTAGGAGGAACTCTGCTGGGTGTCTTGCTGGGTTTCTAGAGATACTCAGAAACTCAGGGCTGGAATGTCGCCTGTTCACTTGCTGTGATGTGTCACTCTTCAGGTATCTGGCCCTAAAAGGTTTACTCGGTTGTCCTTGTCAAACAGGCTCGTTTATCGCATTTGCTGATGAGGAAACGCAAAGCTCCCTGTCAAGTACAGTCAGACGGGTCGTCAGGGTGATAGGAAAAAACCACAGAACAGGCAACTCCAGCTGCTGCATCAGTATATTCGCACAGGCCAGTGTGACTGTGGCCATAACCAGTTTCTGCCGCTCGATGGCAGCAGAGAGTAAACTGGAGAGCTCGCTTAACCGTACACGTTGTTGCAGTTCATGCTACGGCGAGAGGGTTTTTCAAATGTTCTTTAGTAAAGACAATGGTTCTGTACAGACCCATAAACACTCAGAGGACCATGTACATGCTTTGTATAGTGAAATGGTTCTTCAGATTGGTGGAGGATGTGATCTATATAGAACCATATACATCACAGTTTTCACAATGGTTCTAGATGGCATCAAAAAAGAGTTCTACTACTGTCACAATGTCAAGCTTGTAACAACAGAAGAAACGTTTTTGGTGCTATATAGAACCTTTTTCAAAAAGAACCATCTACAGCACATTCTCCATCAGTCTGAAGAACCATTTCACCATTTAAGCATGTTTATGGTTCTGTATAGAACCACTGTCTTTTCAAAAGAACCATTGAAGGACCATCTTTTTAAGAGTGTATGTCTAAAGTGCTGCATGATACTTCAGTAACACCTTTTTTTGAGTCCACTGTCGACCTTGTTTTTAACTTACATTCAACAAACGGTCACTTTACGCTGAATGCAATTTATTATGTTAAATCTTGCCTAATCCTAAAACTGACCCTAAACCTTAACAAATGTTAGCCTAAAGCTAACCCTAACCCAGAGACTCTTGATAATCAACTGTGAGTTTTCACCACCAACAATTTCAGCATGTACATGGGCTTGTTAAATAAACGTGCTTCTATATTCTAAATATATCTACAATAATATAGTCATATGCTAAACTTTGAACACCCCAGTCAAATAACATGTTTTGTTAACACAGAGAACAAATCCTCTCACAGAGAACAAATTTAAATATGTTCCCTTTTTTCACCCAGAAAACCAACAAAACATATAATTCGACCAAATTTTGCACATGGCTGTACATATTTTTGTCTCCTGCAGTATTCCTCTTTTTCAGTAATCTAAAGGAATGTAGTATCCTGTAGTGAACCATAAAAAGTATCTAAATGTGCTGTAAGGTTACGCTATTGGCTGCAGCAGGTTTGATGATATTGCTAAATAATGCTGTAAAATGTAAAGAAAAAATGTTATGTCACATCAGAATTAGCTGCATTATACAGCATGATTTTCAGTCATTAGTAAATAAACAATGATCACAAATGCAGCAGTTCTGAGAGCAGAGATCAGATTTGATGTGTTCTGTACAGACAGCTGTTGTACGTTGTGCCACTTTGTGTAAACTGTAATAGGTAAATATTCACTTTAATAGTTTAGTGGGACACATATCGATCATGCTCAAATATCACTTTACAGAACAAAGGTCACAAAATAAATAACAGATACTAAAATATGATCCACTTTATAATGGACAAAATAATTGAAACACTTCAAGTTCTTCATGAAATGCTCTGAATGTTCTGAACTATGTATATTTGATAAAAATAATAAGCCTTACAATTTTCAAGTCAGGCTGCTGTGAGATTTATGTAGGGCAATAACATTGTATCTCATTACATTTGTGTAATGAGGCACTCTGTTCTGTGAGCTTCCTTATACTCATGGATGAATAAAGGTGTTTGACATCATCCTCATACCCCAGCTGAACAGGAAGTGACCAGTTAACAGGCCTTAAAGATTCAGATGTGCTTTAAAAAGGTAAAATACAAAAATATATCAATTGTATTTTGTGTATGTGTTTTGGAGGAAAAGATGATGTAAACATAAAAACACAGAAATGTAAAGTTGTATTTTCTATGAATATTTTGCTTTCCTGAAAGGTTAGATTTCTATCATGTCTTCAGCCTAAGATCAAGTTGATAAACAACAAAAACAGAGCTTTAACTGTAACACTGATAGACTGACTGCTGGTATTTTCTGGTATTCACGTAATCTCTTGGATTTTTTTTTTTTATGTTATGTAGCATGCACAGTACTTTAGCTGTGTCATTGCTCTTCTTGATACAAAACTAATCTGAATCTTTTGCATTTGTAGCATGCAGTCCATTGCTATAGACAGTAATTGTGATGTTTCCTTTCACTTAGGAAAAGAACAGACAACCTGCTCACTTAAGATACATTTATAATAGAAGCCAAAGGACAGTTTCCCACTGGCTTCTATGATAAGAGTGCACTGAGTTAAATGGAACAAAAACAGACCTCTTTCCTCTTTGGAACTTCATTAGTTGCATCATGTCACTTGCTACATTACATAAAGGAATGTTTCACTGAAAAATCAAACTTACTCAGTTTTCTCCTCTTACTCCAAATGTAGTCAATCAGCCAAGACATGTTTGGTGTCTAAAGTTTGCTCCTTTAGTTTTGCAGTTGAGCTGTGAGGCTAATCTAATACATGTCTGTCACCCTTACTTTTTAGCATCGTAACTATAGTGTAAAATTTAGGAAGCAAACTTTGGACAGCAAAAGTGTCTTGGCTAATATACTATTTTCAGTAAGGAGGAAATTGTGTAAATTAGATTTTTCAGTGAATCATTCATTCGAGTCATGTGTCTTTACTTATGTCATGTTACTGAAAACTTGTATATTAAGGTGGATGATTGTCGGATCCCTTCTATAGTAGACACATGCTGCTAAATGGAATCTCACCTGTGACACACCTGTGTAGTTACCTTTGTAACTGTGACTTTAATCCCTTAAATGGCCAGGCCCAAAGTTTTATAACACACATCTATAACCTAAGAATACCTCAATCAGTTTGCATTGAAGTCTATGTAGTTATAGAATAATACGCCTTAGTATTTAATAAGCCTGGGATTTTAATGGGTTAAAGTTGAACTCCTTTCTCATACATTGTTTCTGTTACTTTGTACACTCAATGCCTTTGAACTATGAAACCTTAGTAATATAACAGATAATGATATAAACCCAAATCTCAGCTTTATCATTTCTACAAATAAGTAACTGTGTTTAAAACACTTTATCTGAATAATATGTACAAGAGATATCATAGGGTCACAATTTTCCCACATTAGCAAAATTACTTTTATCGTAACTTAACAAATAAAGGCATTTGAGAAACTCATTTCTTAGCTCAATATTTTTTTGAACGATACCTTCACTTGCAGGTCATCATAAAAGAATTAATAAGCGAGTTAGTTGTAATAGCGGTAACATACTGAGCACTGTTCTGCTAAAGTCTTTTTGGTGGCTTTACTCAGAATTTGGACCAAAATCTAGTTTATGTGCAGAGGTTAGTCAAAAAATTGAAACACAGTGAATGAATGTGAGTGTGGATTTACAGTTCAATCGCTCTGTTTTGTCTCCTGTATTCACATTTCTACTGTACCATTAACCCCCTTTATAATCAAAGACTAGACTAGTCCTGGACCACCCCATCTTGTTATTACTGACCTATCCATGGCTACCCCCATATCTATCTATCTGTACATATGGACACGTGGTTGTCAGATTGGAGGGGCTGAGGTTTGGAAAATAAGCACCTATAGGCCTATTTCTGCTCTTTTGCCGCACCCTTAGAGAAACCATTCTGTAATTGCTAGGGTAAAGGACTGTACTAACCACTTGAAGGACAGACAGGGCTGAGAGTATCTATATTGAGCCAGACAGGCTCCCTGCTTACAGATGTGGCAGAGGGAGGGATGGAGGACAGAGCTGCAGATGTGTATAATTTCTAGGAAACCGCTTTAGACTTCTAAGACTCACCAGGGCATGAACATCGGAGTCATGGCTAGAATGAATATTATAAATAATTAATAATACTGCTGCTGCTACTACTAGTGCTACTACTACCATTACTACTACTAATTACTGCTAATACTACTACTGCTACTACTATTGATAATACTACTATTACTGCTGCTACTACTACTATTGTTACTGTTACTAACACTACTACTACTAGCACTACTGTTGCTAGCACTAGTACTTATACTATATCTACTAGTACTGCTACTACTGTTACTACCACTACTACTAGTACTGCTACTGCTATTACTACTACTGCTACTACTATTGATAATACTACTATTACTACTACCACTACTATTAGTTTTACTATCACTACTACTGCCATTACTACTGCTACTTCTATTAATACTATTTCTATTATTACTACTACTACTGTTACTACCACTACTACTACGAGCACTGCTACTGTTATTACTACTACTGCTAATACTACTACTATTGCTACTATTACTACAACTACTTGTAGTATTACTACCAGTAATAAATTGAGGCATGTGGTACAGTCACCTGCAGATCTTACTGCTAGTAAAACAACATGCACATGTTTTTGCTATGGAATCGTTAACTTGGTTGACATGCATAGAGTTATTGCTTTACTGCCATCAGATGCTACATACACTCTAGTGGAAAAGTGCCACAAAAAGCCAAGTTTGGGGGTTTTGAAGGAGAACCTTTTGGTCAGGGAGAACATATATATAATACATAATATGTCCAAAAGTTTTTAGGCATCTGTTCATCCAATATTTTGTTCTGAAATAAAAGATATTAAATTAATACTACAAATAGGGCGTTTGCTCAGCCCACATCCCCCTTTGCTGCAGAAACATCCTCTGCTCTTGGGGGGAAGGCTTTACACTAGATATTGGAACATTGCTGTGAGGATTCAGCCACAAGAGCATTAATGAGGTCAGGCACTGATGTTGAATGGTTAGTTCTGGAACAAACTGGAACTCCAACTTATCCCGAAGGTGCTGGATGGAGCTTCATGTCTCCGGAGAACGCCGTTCGACTGCCCCACAGCCCGCTGCCAGGGAGATTTATAAACCTCTAGCTGAGACTTGGCATTGGGT